TGCACCCGATTTTGTTGTCCCTCCTTTTAAGAAAATCAGAGCAAAGTGATGCCAACGAAGTTTTTTTTGTTTGTTTTGAGTTGCCTGAGGCAACTAGAAAGAGAACCTCAGTTCCAATCTCGTATGCCAGCCAAATGAATAGTGGTACCTCGGGTTAAGAACTTAATTTGTTCTGGAGGTCTGTTCTTAACCTGAGGTACCACTTTAGCTAATGAGGCCTCCTGCTGCCGCCGCGCCGTTGTGTGATTTCTGTTCTCATCCTGAAGCAAAGTTCTTAACCCAAGGTACTGTTTCTGGGTTAGTGGAGTCTGTAACCTGAAGTGTCTGTAACCCGAGGTACCACTATAGTCAACATTGGAAGCAGTACTTAACGACACACATAAAGAATCTATATCACACTTAATTTGTTTCCCATAGGCAAGTTCAGAACTTTTGGCAAGTAAGACATGGAAAAGAGAATAAATCAAGTGAAAAAGCATGGGGATTGGAGTTAGCTGGCTAGCACAGGAAACAAGCTGGGAGAGAAGACGGGGGCTTTGTGGGAGGTACGAAGAGTCCTGGCCAAATGTTAGCTCTGGCCCCAATGAGTTATAGAAACCCCTGAACATTGCAGATCCCCATCTTGCCTCAAGCGAGAGGCATAAAGCCAGTCACAGGGGTCAGACACAAGATTGAAGAGAGTTCCTGGAGCCCAAAATTATGAGCAGACAAGTAGGGACTAAGACTGTAGGAGTTGAGGTCTTAGACTGCACCACACATGGAGAAAGAAACCAAATCCGTACTCTCTTCAGGAATCAAGGAAACTGTTCCCAGGCCTAGTTTAAGCTGCCTTGTGACAACTGGATACCTACATTCTGTATATTCACAAATGCAGTGGAAGAGAAGAGCTGTGTGGTATTAGGGCACACACATCTTAAGCTCCCACAAGGAAAAAGCAGCTTTAGGTGCTTGAATGGTGTGGGCTGAATGAAATTGAAACTGTCAGCGTGCAGTGCCCTGCATAACCTCCTTGCCCTCCTGACGACAGAAATAGACTGTTGCACTTGAGAGCAATCCCGGAAAGTCTGCAGCTCTAGGAACTTAATGCACAAAACTTTTGCTTGTCCCTCAATGGAATCTTTCACTCTCTTCTTTTTTGCATGGAGAACTGGCAAACCCGGGATTCTAAGTTTAGAGCACAGACGCATCTTTAGAAATAAAAGTGTTAAGAGATTTGTCAAGTTTTAAACTAGCTCAGGTTTCACTGTCCTTTCCTCAAGGACATTTAAGAAATACGGACAGTCATGGCTGTATTGCAAGAGTACTAAGACCTCACACCCGGTGATACCTTGTGGTAGCTGTAGATGTCTTTCAAGGCAAATGATGTTGGTGAAAAGCTGCCAGTAGTAGTGTCAGGACATTGTTTACATTCTTTTCCCTGTCATTTTGAGGTGGTGCCTGCAATGAGGTCTTAAAATCCTTATGTAAAGCACTGGGCTGTACTCAACCAACTTGTTGTGCAAGCAGAAACCAGCACGAAGACTCTCACTCTACTCTGGAGGGCAGGGGGAACCCCCAGAAGAGCACGCCGGGTTAGGATATGGGAAATGGCTCCATTGGGTGAGCAGAAATGCTACACTGGCAAAATAATCTCCTTAGCACTACACTAAATGCAACACATTTGCTTTTAGGCTAGCTGTGGGATTCCACTTTTGAGGACTTTGTGGGCTGCACAGCACACTGCTAGAACACCAAGATTCTGAAACAGAGGAACAAGACCGAAGGAAGCACAAGTCGAGAGCGTATGCGCCTCCTCCACAGGGAATCTTTTTCTCGCTAACCAATCTATGGCACAGCAAAGTTTGAGGAACGAACTGCTTTGACAAAAGTCCCTCAGGCAAAGCCTGGAGGAATTAGGTAGGTCCTCTATTCTCCTTTTCGGACATTAGTGCCAATCTCAGCTTGATTCACTCCTTTTCCTACTACAGTGGTACCTCCGTTTAATTCATTCTCGTGGTCTGTTCTTAACCTGAAATTGTTCTTAACCTGAAGCACCACTTTAGCTAATGGGGCCTCCCGCTGCTGCTGCACCGCCAGAGCACGATTTCTGTTCTCATCCTGAAGCAAAGTTCTTAACCCAAGGTAATATTTCTGGGTTAGCGGAGTCTGTAACCTGAAGCGTATGTAACCCAAGGTACCATTGTATATCTATGCAGCCAATTTTTCCCAATACAAAGTCAGTTATTAGCCCTGTGGCTGTCAAGGCCACGCAGGTTTATTATTGGTTCCCACTTGCTTGGAGAGAAACAACCCATGAGCACTGGTTCAGATAGAACACTAAGCCAATGTTGTGGTTTGCTTGCTCCTAGCTTCACCAAGGGAGGAGCAGACAGGCACAGCAAGCTGCCCATTCAAAACTAGCTTTTCAGGATGACACAGCAGAGATGGGGAACATCTGGCCCTCCAAATGTTACAACTCTAATCACCCCTGGTGATTGGCTATGCTTGCTGGGGCTGGTGGGAGTTTAGTTCAGGAACACCCGGAGGACAAAACATTTCCACTACAGTGGTACCTTGGTTCCCAAACTTAATTCATTCCGGGAGTCCATTCTAAAACCAAGGCGCACTTTCCCATAGAAAGTAATGCAAAATGGATGAATCCATTCCAGACTTTTATAAACAACCCCTAAAGCAGCAATTTAACATGAATTTTACTATCTAACAAGACCATTTCTGGGTTAGGGTTAATTTTAGGATTGGGTTAGTGTGATGGTAAGGATGAGAATTAGGGTTAGAGTCAGTGTTGTTTTATGTTTTCTTGTGATTTTGATTCATTGGAGGTTGGGTCTGCTTTTTTCAATTTGTTGTGTTGCTGCTTTTTCCAAGTTTGTTGGCTGCTCAGCTGGAGAAGTGCAGGCTCCGTCACACTTTTCCATTGAGGGGTGCGTGGCTGTGTTCATCTCAATAGAGAAGTTTAAAGGAGCATCGCGTGGCAATGCAGAGACAGTCTGACAGCTGCCTCAGCAGCAGTAGTTCAGGGGCTCTCAGATGCAGCTGCCAGGCTGCCTCCACCTTCCCCACCCCAGCAACAATTCCACCTGGCTGCCTTCAGGTGGTGCAGCGGCTCTGATGCTGAGGTGGGGGATCCTTAAACTTCTCCCCTCAGGGCGCCCCCAGCCGTGAACCCCTCAATGGAAAGTGTGACGGAGCCTGCACCTCCCCAGCTGAGCTGCCCCGATCCAGCTCCTACTCCCGTGCAAGCAGGAGCGGGGGCACTCAAAACAGAAGCGTGGCACTGAAAAAGGAAGTGTAACACTCAAAAGAGAGCAGTTCGGATTCCGAAAAAAGCTTGCAAACTGGAACACCTACTTCCGGCTTTGCGGCGTTCAATTTCCGAGTTGTTGGTGAACTAAGTTGTTAAAAAACCGAGGTACCACTGTACGGTGGTACCTCGAGTTACAAACGCCTCAGGTTACAAACTCCACTAACCTGGAAGTTACTTCGAGTTGAGAACTTTGCCTCAGGATGAGAACAGAAATTGTGTGCCGGCCGCGCAGCGGCAGCAAGAGGCCCCATTAGCGAAAGCACGCCTCTAGTTAAGAACAGTTTCAGGTTAAGAACGGACCTCCGGAACGAATTAAGTTCGTAACTAGAGGTACCACTGTAATGGCTTACAGCCAGTGCTTTTTTTCTTTTTTAAAAAAAATGTTTAGGGGTACTCTCATTTTCCTACTCATATAGCAATACTGCCCCTCAACTTCTTTAAACTAAAGTGGCATTTTGTTCACACACTGAGATTACCTCAAAGCCCTTATAAGGTGGATGGCTTGGTTCAATGTGCAGAAATATTGACGTGTGCATTTCACATTTACATACCAGAAGGATATCAAACAGGCATCTGCATATATTCTACAGGATGGGCAGCTAGTACTCTCCAGATGTTGTGGATTACAACTCTCATCATCTGTGAACACTGGCTGTGCCAGCTGGGGCTTTGGGAAGTCATGGTTCAACTTCTGGGAAACGCAATGTCGGCTACCCGCGTTGTATAGTTAGTATTCATCTCCTGAAATTGTGAGAGGCCTGATCCAGTTACAGGAAAGCATTGCAGCATAGAGTCCTGGGGAATTAGAATTTCTTTATTTTACCATAATGAGATTTGACCGTCTCAATTTGCATCCCATATTGAAAATAAAAACCGACTTCAGTAATAGAGGCGTAGCTCAGAGCCTGCCCCAAGCTTCCAAATGAAAGCCTAGGTATTTGGGTGGCTTGAAGAGTTTCAGGCCCCCACAAACAGAGCTCACTCGGAAGGGAGATTTTGTGAGGAAACTTCCAACATACAGCAGTTATACAAGTTTTCATAGAAGTTTAGTGTCCCGTGCATTAGAGGAGTGGGCTAACATGTTTTGCATATTTTATTTACTCCTCCCTTCCCTCTCCAGTGTGAGAAGGTGGCTTTTAACCCACTTCTCTAGGGGTTTTTAGATAATACTAGAAAGCTAGGAGCAGTCACTTCTCAAACCCATACAGGTCACCATGGCAGGACCTTTTTTAAGCATTTCCAAGCAAAGCAGCTTACTGAAGCCTTACGGAGTCACAGACGGTTAATAAAGGCCAGCTATAAAAACTCAAGAGCACCACAATATTTTCTATTCACAAGGAAAAAAGCTCCAGTCCATCTTTTTATTTTTTTGAAAAATTTCTGACATTACAGAACTAAACTGAAATGTATTAATTCCACTCTTACATCTCATGACATAACAGAAAAACTTCATGAGCCAAGAAAGGGGGAGAAGCTTATAAACTAAAATATGAATCAGCATTTTAACAGCTGAACAGAGAAAAGGAATTAAAATGCTGCAATTAAAAAAAAAATCATGAGTGGATGGGTAAAGCATGTAGAACTGAAAATTTACAAACTAGTTAAAACCTGGAATTGCTGACTGCTCAGAAACTACACAGATGGATCATGGGGATGAACAGCAGAAACGGGTAATGAGTGAGGCGGTTGCATTGTCCTAGCTGCTTCCCATTCCACCAGTCTCCGAAGAAAGCCTACAACGAGAACAAAGGTTAAAGGCCTTTTTTAAAAATTCTGTTATGACAAAATCCTACCCAGTCGTACTACAAATATTTTAAACCCCAAACGTATGATATAATCAAAAGCCAGAACAAAACCCTTTGGTTCCCACATCACTCACAGACCAATGCCCCGCGTAGCCCACACCATGCCAGGCAATATAGAAGCAGCTGTAGATTAGCAGTGGGCCGGAAGGCCCCTTTGTCATTTAAGATGCCCAGAAGGAATATATTATCCTCAAAGTGTGTGCGGCTGCAGTAAATTTTAGATGGTCCTAAATGTTCAGTGGCTCCTGAATGTTGCTTTCCTGCTGGGCCAGGCAGTCACCAGATCTCCTCTCACTCAGAGCATTGTTAGGAGTAGGCACACCATAGTGGCCTCTGTTGCTGCTAGCATGCAAGCTGTAGCTCAGTTTGCCTTGTGTGTCTGAGTGTCTTGTTCTTGAAGGAAGCCACCAAAACATATGCATGGTTAGGCAATTAAGTTCCATAGTTAGCAGGCAAGGAAAGAATTAACCAGAGTCAGATAATAAAAAAGGCAAGCCAGAAATGGTTCAATTTATAAATCAGACAACTTTTACAGTTGCCTGATGCTTAAAGCCCAAAGCCGCTGTTATTTTATTCAGCCTATGAAGTTTTACCATATTCTAAGCCACGTCACTCTGATCAGATGAGTTCACTGCTCACGAGGCTTTAAATAAGCAGTGCTTCCGCAATTTGCTACTCCAGTATTAACACAAAGGCACATTTTTGTCCATTGCTGATGGGAGGATGGGCAGGGGGAGGGGACTGCATAAATCCCTGATACACAAGGTTCTTTAAAGGAGGACTTCCACTAGCACCCCTTCCCACATTTGGACTGTTGCAAGCTGACCCCACAAGGGCCTACAGAAACCAACGTTCAATAACATTCAAGGCCCAACTACAATTCAACCAATTCAAGTTATCCAAGAACTTGAGATCTTATCCAAGAGGTGGAGCCAAGCTATGCGAAACTTACCTTTTATGTTCCAAGGCAAACTAGCTGCCCTTTCTATAGGTTCTCCTAGCTCTGCAAGGTGTGTGCATCCACAAGCAGCTCCTCCACTGCTGGGAGAATATTTAAGATGATCCAACCCCAGGGGTGCAGCCAAACTGTGCAGGTCTTTCCCAAAGGATTGTGCCACTATCGGTGTGAAAGACCCTCATGATCAGACCCTGCCCATGTGGCCGGATCATTTAAATATTCTTCTGCTTCTTTTAGAATGTGAAGGACTACCAAGAAGCCCCAAAGAGCTGAAATTGACAGTCCAATGGGCAGGGTAGAACCATTCAAGGGTGCAATAAGAATAGCTTATGGTGGGAAAAGTTTGTGCAGTTTGTTGTGCTGCAGTTTGGCTTGTACGCTGTTCTTCTAGAACTGGGAAGGGAGTCTGCAGGATGGCCCATCTCACCACCCCACACATATCCTCATAGTGTAGTTTTGCAAAAACTGCAGAAATGCGTGAGCAAAAATGCTTTCCTCAAATTAAGAGAAAAGGTGTGGTACTCTATTCCCCATGAACCAGCATTTGTGCATTTGTATTGTCTGGCTTTTAGCAGCATGACCAGAGTTATATAGATTCTCTGACCCCTTGCCTGTAAAGAACAGGAGGAAGGGGGTTTGTTAAGTGGAGTTGGAAGAAAACAACCTTTCCTCAATGCCAATTCTGCCCATTTCAGGGCAGAGAAGCATGTGCGTTGTGTGCTGTGATGGCATATGGTCAACATCTCTCAACTAGATAAGGTAACCAAACCTTTGCTGTTGGTCCTCACTGTGAAGGGGTATCTTGGGGTAAGGGCATAAATTCTGCCAATCCGGGAGAAATTTACATAAGGTTCTTTTAGAATGACAATTTTACTGGGAGCACTAGAAAGCGAACACATAGAGCCCAACATTGTGTCTGCAAATAGTGTTTACTTGACGTGTCTTGAAGCAAGATACTAGCAAATCAAGTTATAACAGAAGATTTCTGCTGCAAGAAATGGACAAGTCATGAACCCATGGATGAGGCTACAAAAGTAATCAGGTTGACACAGAGAGCAGCTTGTTTCAGAGGCTCACTGAATGAGTCTCTGCTGGAGATCAACTTATTTGCATTTCTCTGAAAGGGCTCTGCAATATCCCCCAGCAACCACTTGCACATGGGAGTGAAAATTTATGGGAGGAAAGGGCAAGATTCTAAAAGATGTCAAGAGTGGACACACCATTCATAGGATTCTTGGGAAACCAGTTCAGTAATATATGCTTAGTGTACCTCTGCTATAATAAAATTTGACAGTGGAACACCTTTTGCCTACCTCAACATAGAGCTAATAGACATTAAAGGTTATTACAGGCCCACATGGATGCCAGCTGGATAGAAAAAGGGAACATGAACGAAGCTCTGATCTCAATTTCCCACCACTTGGAGCTCCATATCGTCAACACCATTGGCTAGTGGTAGTGCTGCATGAACAAATAACTTTTGGACAACACATAACCAGACTTGCTAGTCGAGAACAAATTAAAGCCCATTAAGTCAGCCTCTACAGAACACTATAAAACAAGACGGCCAGCCCGAAAACTTGGTTAAGAGTGGACAATTTTTACTTTATGTGGTTACACTACAGAGCAGAACAGTTTTTTTTAAAAAAAGTTACAATTGTGAAAGTCAAACTGCAGAAACAAAGTACTAAAAAAGACTTCTGCTACTCAAGGAAAAAGGGTTTGACAGAACTGCATTAAGTCAGCCAGTTGATGGCCTCCCCGCCCCCTATGATAGGGTAAGGCCAGGCCCTCCCAGCTCCCTGGATGCAAAGAGTTAACTAGTGCAGCCCCAGAATCAAGCCATCAGTCATCATTTCAAACTTGTTCTAGTAACTTTCTTTTAATACAAAGGATAACACAAGATTCTTAGCAGTTCCAGCTGTCACCGTTTCTTATTCAATGTTGCCTGAATTATTATGTTTTTGGAAAGTCTAAGAGAGCTCAAAAAAAAAGGAAGTGTCTGTAGTGTTCATGTGACAACCCCAGGCTAAAGATCAAGTGAATTTAGGTGCAGACAGAAAGAATGAGCACGTACTATGCTCAACACAACAGCACGTCATCCTGCTGCATTATCTGTTTTGTCTGCCCGGTTTTCCCACACGGCTTTTAAATAGCCTTTAGTGGAGGAAACAGGCAGCTGCTGGCCTCAAAAGCCCAAGTTGAAAGACCAGAACAAGTGAAGCCAACTGCCCAGCCTCTACAGATTATCACCTCTCAATACAGAATACATGCACCAGGGAGGGAACATCCATTCAGATGGCCTATTTTGCCATCAGGAGACAGGGGCTTCTAAAACCACATCTATAGGTGTCTGAAATATCCACCTCTAAGGACTAAGTATCAGAAAGCAGAACAGGTTTCAAGTGCTATTTTAGAAGATGCCATAAAGGAAAGCAACACCTGCAGCATTGTCACAGCTGTTCATTACAGTGTGTATGTTGCTCCAGGTTCTCTCACTCTCTTAAGTGGCTAATAAAAGTCTTGGGTGTGGAGAAAGATGGGTATCAGAATCTCCCAAGTTTTCAAAGGTCTGCTGCAGTTTTTTACATGGGAAGGGTGTGCACACAAAGAATTTTACTTTTTCTACTGAGCAGGTGAGTTGTGTACACTGGCAAGTGGCAGTTTGTACAAGAGCAGGAATAGTATTCAGGGTCTGAACCCGCCCCCAGCACCATTACAGCTCACACCCTCACAATTGTGTGTTAGGTATCAGAGCCTCCATAAGGAAGTTTATATACTTAATAATGGTGTTAGTGCAGTGCAGTAGTGTAGATAGTTTTCAAAAAAAAAAAAAAGAGTTTAGCCTGGGGGTGCAATGTCAGATTCAACCGGCTTGTGGTCAGAGTTCGGTCCCAATTCAGGCACATCTGTGCATGTTCTCACCATGACAGCTTTATTACAAAGGACAGACATTGAGACAGGTTTGGCCAAAGTAGCCTCTTTGCACAGCTTAAACCAAGGAATTGCAAGTGAGTTATCTTGTTAACGGACCCTAGCATTCCCTGCCCACCCAGCTCCCTCCCCACCCACCTTATTCCATGTAACAATGCAAACAAAACTACTAAAGCAACAGCTACAAGCTACATAATCAAGATCACTACTGGACTCAAACTGATTAATACACTTGCTCAATTGTCTTTGACCTAGTGGAGGTTGCCAGCAAAAAGAAACTCCATCCTAAAGGAATCACAAAGCTCACTTTTCTTTTGAAGTTTTTAAAAAAGCTCTTCCAAGTCTCCTCTATGGGATCCCCATTGCTGAAAAGCAATCTGCTGTTCCTCTAAGGCCACAAGCAGACACTCAGTAAGGAGAGAATCTCTGTTTTTCCGTTTTCAGTTTGTTAGTAACACATGGCACAGCTGAGGTGGTGGAGGCACCCTTAGCAGCAGACACAACATTTAGAGCCAGGAGAGGGACGGGTTTCATGCCAAGCAGACTGGAGACACAGGGGGCGGTCGGAAGAGGGTTGGGGAGGCTGGAGGGTGCGTCGGAGACCCCCGCTGTCGCAAGCGAGGGGGTGGTGGTGGAGGAGGAAGAAGAAGAAGGGGTGGAGGGTTGAGAGAGGTTGATGCTGAGGTGGTCGGGGATCGTGACGGAGGCTGCCTGGGAGGAGGGTTTAGCGCTTTCTAAACTGTAACAGAGGAAAAAAGGAACAAAAATACGGGTGGGTGGATGGGAACACCACACAAAAAGCACAGGACACAAACAGCTTAAATAGCATGAAACTAATCTGGGAAGCTTTGGAAACAGCATAGCCAGAAGAAAGGTGGGATGGGAGAGAATGCTGACTGCAAGGGAATCTCAACATTCTCTTAGGTGTACCATGGTGCACTAATAACTCCCCCACCCCACCCTCCAAACAAAACAAAAATCCCAGCCTACACAACAGTTCCAATCCCAATCCCATTATGAATAATAGCCCCAGGTTTTGATTTCCTCAATTCCAGAAGCAGAAACTTGGTTGCTTCAATACTGAACTACAAAACACACATTTTGTTGAAGCTGCAGAGAACTACCACTAAACCTAAAGTAGCTGAAATCCTATCTGTTCCTGACAATATCTTGCAACACACCACTCTCCCTCCCTCCCTCCCTTGCCCATGCAGCTGTCCCTTCAGATTTAATGCAGGCAGGCTGTAGCTCCTGCCAGTATTCAAAATATGCATTTAGGTAGCAAACGAATTCTAACAGTGCATTGTGTTCCAGTCCAAGGTTGCCGTAATTATCAGGGAAGTCTTAATGAACAAACCCTTTGTTCAACTGTCAGAGGTTTTAACACAATCCAGTTTTCTACATCCTTACAGTCAATAAACAGCAGGGGAGGCTATTCCTCATCTAGCCAGAGGATAATTTTTGTTTTAAAAAATGATTCAAAAAATGAATAAAACAAGCCAAACACCCAAGGGAAGGCTTTATTTGTGTTAGAATAAGGAAGAGGTTGCAGATGGTAGGCACATCTCTTTTTTCAGATACAACATTGTGGTTCTCAGTTAGGTTTTCCTCCATACTGAACTACAGCAAGTGGAAATGTAGGCTGCTTCTAAAGAAAAGAGCCATGTATTTTATTTGAACAGCAATTTCAGGAGCAATCTTCCACAATTTCATTTGTTCATGGGATTAAGCTTCAACAGAGCACTTGAGGAGCTCCACTGAAAATTGGCAAAAGAATTCTTGGAATGCCCGGAACACTGAGATTATGACCACTGTTCTTAAATGAGTTTCTGAACTGAATGAATTTTAACCAATGTTACACCAGTAACATGCAGCCCAGTAAGAGCTGAACACAAGCAGCAGTATCATCAGTATCATCAAAATGACCCACACTCTATCCCCATCTTGAGACCTATATGCTCCAGAATCTGGTGTTTGAAATGACTGGTCCTCCTAGCTTGAACCAGCCTTGACAACCTGGGATTCTTGCAAAATACATTTAGCAGTTCACATCAAGTAGACAGGATTTGAAGGACAGTTGGTCAGCATGACAGAATGTGAAACCCTAAGGATGGCTGTTTATATAGCAGTTCCCTTCCCCTCAATATTTTATACTGTAACTTTGCAAGCAAACTCTTTTTACCTGTTTTATGTACAGCATTTAGGCTTTTAGACACTATAAAAATACCCTAAGCCCTTAAGGAGTTCAGAATGGAGGAGTACCTATTAGCAATCTCTCTTACACACAATTTTTTCCAAGTGTCATCTAGCCGCTTACATAGCAGTCTTCTTTCTTGCAGGCCACAATATATCAACCAATGTATAGCTAACGGGTTGCAGCTTGCCACCACAATGCAAAAATACTGTGTCTGTGCACCTCCAAGAAGGAATTCTCAACTGCAGAAACTGCCTATCTGTAAGCAGCAAGTCACTGAATGCTGCACAGAACTTCAAATTTGGTGGCAGAAACTTCCTAGTTTCTGACTGGTACAGCTGGGGAACTAACCTGAAATCAACTATTTCCTGAGCATCCCAAATGGCCACTTCTTTGAAAATTGAGGTGCTCTCAACTTCCTCAGGGCAAAGGATCAAGGAAAATGTAGCAGGGTTGCTTTAAAAATCATAGCAGATACGTATTTGGGAGAGCACCTACTTGTACAGATGTTGTGTTTTGCTATTAGCCAAGGGGTCATCTAATCCAGCCCCCTGCAATACATTAACTCATTCATGGGCAGTTTAGAGAGCTGAAAGCTCACAGGCAAGCCTAACTTTGCTACATTACAGAAGGAAGGCATTGGAGCCAGAAGCTAACCCATAGATTCTAATCATTGACCTGTCATTCTGCAATGAACACTTTAGCTATGTTGGAAAGAGAGGGAAGAAATCTAGGACATGAAATGCCAGCTGCTCCTGTCTGGGTTTTTAATTATTGAAGTCAATGCTCTCCATTAAGCTGATGCTTTCACTTTTGCCTTATGAGATCATCTGATCTGCTCAAATGCTGCAGAGGGCCTCTTGCCAAGTAGGCTTTTTAAGGACAGGGCCCAAGGAGCAGCCACTGTTTGCTGCAGAGAACTGCTGCAGCCCGGAGCTGAGGGTTTTGCTGCTAGCAAGAGTACTCAGGGAGAAAGGGAGCTGCTGCAGCCTTTGCAGTGCAGAAAGCTCCACCCCTGGGGCAGTCCCAATTCTTCCCTTTCCTCTATTAACTACAGTAAACTGGGCTGCATAGCTTCCAGATCTCAAAAAAGGCACCAGCTGTATCTGGTTTTTTTAAAGGAACAGTTAAGCATCTTATTTTTGTACAGGCTCAGCTTAGCAGCAAGACTCCAATTTAGTCTACCTTGTTGTAGACACAGGACTTTCAAGAAGCAATATTGGTTGGCTCTGTCACAAACCAGAAATATTCTAGTAAAAAGCCTAAGCGCTGTCAAGGAATGAGTGTTGCATATCCCATTTATTTCTATTCTCCTTCCTCCATACCAACTACTAGAAGGTCAATGGATAGGTCTGGTGCACAAGCTGCTTTTGCACCAGGGAAGTGGGAAGAAAAAAGGTGGTTTTGTTCTATTTCAGCTCAGAGAAACAGCCTTTTTCAAAATGTTGCCCTGATTTTAGTCATCTTTCACGTTCCCCAGTTCTGCCAACTCATACATGCATTACCAAGCAGCACGCCATTTGAATAGACTTACCTGACATTAATTAGATATTGAGCCAGGCTAATGCTGGCTGCAGATCCAGTTATGGTAACCTGCCTGTCAGTAGATCCTTCCACTGGATTGGCAATTTTGATCTGCGCCCCAGACATCTGGCGAATCTCATTGATCTTGGCGCCCTGACGCCCAATGATGCATCCAATCAGCTGAGAAACAAAAGTTGATAATGGTCAAAATGGAGCTTAGGATTCCAAAATAATCATTTTGTCCTGCTATTCTCTTTTCAGGTCAAGTACAGGCCTAACCTCTGGGAAGCTAGTTAAATTCCAACTCATTATCTGATGAGCATATGCCTACTTCTGTGCTTTTGCTATCAGGTAAACATTTGTTAACTCAAGAATGATACTTCAGGTTATTTCCAAAGAAACATAGTATCTGTGTGCCAATCTATGCAAGAGTCATTTGTACTGATGAACTATTCAGACAACTCTTTATATATTCTCTCATATTGCAGACACTATGCTCACATGCTTGTTCTCTGTGAACCTCAAGATTTCCACACATTAGACTCTGAATGAAAGGCAGATTGAAAGGCTTCTACTGCAATTGTTCTTTCTCTATCTTTGATGCAGCTGTACTGAAAACATGCGAGCATACTGAAAACAAGCTTTGCACCACTAAGACACTCTGGATACTATTATTTGTGGCCAATCTGAATTTGTCAGTCCGCTTGCTCTGGAAAAGGTGAAAACACTCATTTTAGATGAAATCTGAGAGACCATCCAAAATCATGACTGCAGACCAAGAAAAGAATCATCAGTCTGGTCAAGTTCCCTTTATGCTTAGGAAACATTTTATCTCCACAGTACCTAAAAATGTGGAGGGGAATCGAACTTAAAACTCTAATAAAAATTCAGTTGCCTGTCTAAGATCAAGTTTGTCTTGACTTCTCCAACTTTTGTTTGTTATAGGAACAACTCGTGAAAGTCCCTTTTCTGGATCTGAAGTTCACCTATTAAGACTGTTCCCTATAGCATTCTTTTTTCTTTACTAGAATTCCCAGTCATCCACAAATACCTAAATTTTAGAAGTCAAATCTATACTCAGGATCTCTTTAAAGTCTTAATTCCAAGTACATATCTCCTTCCATATGAACCTACTCGGACCCAGACATCCTCCTGAGGCCCTTCTTCATGTGTCTCCTCAAAGAGAGATCCAGAGGGTGGCAACAAAAGAACAGGCCTTTTCTGCAGTGGCTCCGTTTGGGGAATGCTTCCCCAGAGGTTTGGCTGGTGCCTTCATTATACACATCAAACACATTATACACATTTGGGCACCAGGTGAAAACACTCCTCCTTCCCTTGTGAGAGGAAGGATTATTGATTTGCTTTGTTCTTATTTTTTATTATGTATTTTGTGTTTTTTATATTGTAATTTTATGTGGTGAACCACCCTGAAATCTACAGGTATAGGGTGGCTTACAAATTTAACAAATATATAAAATGCAATTTTGTTAAAATGGAAGTCTCTTTTTAGAGAAAGCGAAATCTTACATGCTTCACAATACTCCCAGCAGTCGCTAGACTACCAGACTACCTTCTGCTCTACAGACTGCCGTAACAATATTACCCAGAGAACAGAACCTAATACCTTGTTGGTAAACAAAGCTTGGTGGTATAACCACCCATAAAGTAAATCTGTGCAAACAGAGCACAAATTCACTAAGGTCCAAATAGGCACTCGAGCCTTTTCTTGGGCTACTTCCTTGACAGATTAGAGAACTGGGCAAAAACAAACAAGATGAATTTTAACAGGGAGAAATGTAAAGTATTGCACTTGGGCAAAAAAAATGAGAGGCACAAATACAAGATGGGTGACACCTGGCTTGAGAGCAGTACATGTGAAAAGGATCTAGGAGTCTTGGTTGACCACAAACTTGACACGAGCCAACAGTGTGACGCGGCAGCTAAAAAAGCCAATGCAATTCTGGGCTGCATCAATAGGAGTATAGCATCTAGATCAAGGGAAGTAATAGTGCCACTGTATTCTGCTCTGGTCAGACCTCACCTGAAGTACTGTGTCCAGTTCTGGGCACCACAGTTCAAGGAGGACACTGACAAACTGGAACATGTCCAGAGGAGGGCAACCAAAATGGTCAAAGGCCTGGAAACGATGCCTTATGAGGAACAGCTAAGGGAGCTGGGCATGTTTAGCCTGGAGAAGAGGAGGTTAAGGGGTGATATGATAGCCATGTTCAAATATATAAAAGGATGACACATAGAGGAGGGAGAAAGGTTGTTTTCTGCTGCTCCAGAGAAGCGGACACGGAGCAATGGATCCAAACTACAAGAAAGAAGATTCCACCTAAACATTAGGAAGAACTTCCTGACAGTAAGAGCTGTTCGACAGTGGAATTTGCTGCCAAGGAGTGTGGTGGAGTCTCCTTCTTTGGAGGTCTTTAAGCAGAGGCTTGACAACCATATGTCAGGAGTGCTCTGATGGTGTTTCCTGCTTGGCAGGGGGTTGGACTCGATGGCCCTTGTGGTCTCTTCCAACTCTATGATTCTATACTTCTGTGGTGGCCTGAAGTAACCCCGTGAAACTGCCTGCAAAAATCTAACAGACCATTGTATTGTCTCAATTGTTCTCATCTGCGATGCTCTCCCAAGAGCACAGAGAGGCCCATGCACTGCTGCCAGCTGCATCAGATTTTGTTGCACCCAGTTTTCTATGTATTTGTATGCTCAAGATTTCACCACACAAGAATCCACATGGCGCCCTGTGATGGGCTGCACATCCTGCATCCCTCCACCTGTTTCAATTAACCTGTGCAACTGCAATGAGAAAGTACAAAAGTTCTCTCTCATTTCAGGTTACAGTCAGGAATCTTAACCCAAGAGCTTCCTTCAAAACAGAAGAGGCAGTAGCCTGGGTGTCCCCATTATGGTATTACAGTCCAATTGCCTTTTCCTTGCCAAGTGTAGCAGTGCTGTGAACTCTGCTTTGTGTCCCTCCACGTGGAGGGCAGCTGTCCAGAGCGTAGGACAGGAACAGTGCTGTAACTCCTTGCCGCAGGACTCTTGGAAGCAGCGCCGGAGCCTGGGCCCATCTGAAAGTTGCAGCTCTATCCCATCTGCAAGCCACCATTTCCTAGAATTCTGCATCTCTGAAAAATACTTACATCATTTGGAATGGTGAGTTCATGAGAAGTAGTTTGAGCTGATGCATCCAAACCTGCTGAGACACAAAAGAGATCGAGACCAGTTTAATGAAAGGCCCTGCAAGGGGGGCGGGCACTGAACAGAGGCCAGACCGGTCAGGCTAGCATTTGCAGCAGGAAAAACTGCTAACCTGAAGAGTTTCTCAAACAGGAGAAGAGCGAGATGCAAGATGTTAAATCCAAGCCCCTCTTCCTAAGCACCAGGGTTAAAATCAATTGGCAGGTTTCACCTAACGAGCCCCGTCAGCACAAGCCATGCACAAGGGATTCCCCTTGAGCAATGGGGCTTCTCCCCCCTCATCTGCATATACCCCTGAAATTGGCCACAGGGGTGGGAATAACCCCCAGAGCAATGCATGGGGAGAGGGGAGATCATTCTGTCTTAAAAGTTGCAATGATCGCTCTGCTGCGATATACGCCACAGCACAATAGTAAACTCTACCCTCTGGCTATAAGGCAAGCACCAACAGAATGGTTTTTATTCGGCCAGGGTGGGGGGTGAAGTAGTGACTCTGTTCAAATAAAGAACAAATGAGCCAGGATGACCTTTTTACAGAGTCCTACAAAGCTGTAGCAAAGACAGACCCCCAAACAAACATGCATTCTCATCTTCCCATTTGTGCCTTATAGTTGTATGTCAATGTTGTTCTTGCTTCAAAAACATCGCAAGAAGTGGAGGAACACATTTGCATTGACCAAAATGGAGAAAGGGTAATGCCACAAAAAGCATGGTCCAACCTTTAGTTTTATTGGTCCAGTGTAGCTGTTTATAGAAACACTTGTGGTTGACCTACCACCTTCACAAGCAAACGAACTGGTTACTAAATGAGAAATAAGACACTTCATTCATTCTATTATGCCCTGCTCTCCAACAGTTTCCAGCTAGATTTCTTCGCAAGAGAAGGAAGGTTTAATAAGCCTGGCCTTTGCACCTAACACTACTTTGCAGTTCCTTTGTACTATATGGGTTAGCAGAATTTGCTGCCTGGGAAAGAATCTCCCACCAGTATTAACACACAATAGAGTTAACTACAGGTTTGTTTGTTTTTTTCAGTCATTACCCCAATAGCCTTTCACATCTGGAGAGCTGGATTCAACGCCTGTCAAGATACAAGGGACAGTAAGTGTGATGGTCCTAGCTGAAGCCCTATCAGGCTTTCAGCCACAAGACAAACTATTACACAATTTGGCACTAGTGTCAGGATCGCAGCAGCTGGAAGGCAAGAGGTAACTGGCAAAGCTGTTGAAAGGGTGAGGGAAGGAAAGCAACATGAAGACTCTACCTAATAAGCAATCTGATCTCATTTCAGGGCAGCGAAATCCACCCTCACCCCAACATGGTTACCTGTGGATTTTTTAATATATATATATATAAGTAAAATAATGGCGCTTAAGCCAAGCATCTGCACTAAAGGCCAAGTGAAGAAAGACTCTTGGACTGGTAGCTTCTACAAGAAAGGAGGAGTTTTCATACCACTGAATCCAGTGTTGCCATGAGACATTGGAAAGTGTGACTGTTGCATTGCCAACTGGTGCAGCTTGGTCAGCTAGAAAGGAAGAGAGAAAGACGGATGTTAGGAAATTCGGAGGCTTACTTGCTTAGCATACAATTTAAAGGAAAACAGACACTGCAAGCTGAGCATGAGGTGCTGCCCCTTGGGGCAGGAGTTCGGGAGAGGGAAAACTGGGTTAAGGTGCAAGCGCTTCCCTGAGCAGAGATGGGTGCAGACAGAAGGAAAGCACCATGGGGCGTGAGGCCAACACCCATCTCAAGAGTCCCCTGGCTCAACAGAAGGCATCTGCAGTGAATTGTGACGAACACTAGGAGACAAGCACGAACAGGCAAAGTAACACAGAGGCTGGTTTGCAGTGGTGCTTGGGACTACACCATGCAGGACTCTGTCAAGCATTTGGAGGGGAGAGGTATATCATGAGGAGTGACCAGAATGGAGTCAGATGCTCTCCCCAGTATTAAACAGTGCAGTTTTCTAGCTCTCTCCCCTACACCTACTTACCCCAGCCCCACCCTTGCCTGTTCTAAACATGCTATGAGCAGAGATCAAATCCCTATGTATCTTTCACTGAGAAGCTGCAAGTGCTGCATCTAGCTCAAATACCAGAAGGTTTGGGTAAAGAAGGAAAAACATCCTTTTACATCAAGCAAAGATAGCTAATGGCTTTATTAGAAGAAAGCGTGCCAAGGAAAGGCACCCCAAGCAAAAGCCCCACCACCTCCTAGCCACACCTGCACAGTGACTATACATGATGCAGAGTATCATGTTTGGAGACAAAAGCAAAGCAGAAGTCTGAGGCCAGCCTCTCCTCCACCACCACGGTGAAGTGCACTACACCAAGATGCCCTATGCCCTGTACCAAGAACCACAATGACAGTATACCATGGAGTTTTGTTTTGTTTGTTTGGGGGGCTTTACATCAAATTGGGAGGGAAGAGGGGAACTGAAACTTGGAAAAGTGTACCAAGCTTTGCTGTGCAAGTGTGTCACAGGCTGGCAGAAAAAGGACAGATTAAGATTGGCTACACAAAGAAGTGCTGAACAAAATTTGAGGATCGTTTTTGGTCAGATTTCAGCTTCAAATCAAAACAGACTTCTAAAGCTGCTTGTTGAGAAAGCATGGAGAAATTTTGAAGGGAGAAGTGGGGTGATTTCAAGACAAGAAGTGTAAACAAAACTTACATCTGGCTGTGGAATGGCATACTGTCCTTGAATGGTATAGGCCTACAAAAAGGAGGAAAACAGTCCTATTAAAAACCATTGGACAGCCACCCAGTGACAGACAGATTTCAACTAGCCAGGAAGCCAGAGAGCTGAGGGGGGAGAATTGTTGGTGGGGAGCCTGAAGGCAGGCAGTTCTCTTAAGGGGGCTGCTTGAATTTGCTAGTGTGCGTAGTGTGAGAAGGGAAACTGGTCCCCACCACAAAAAGGATTATAGTATTAGCAGCTGGTTGTTGGTGAAGATTTGTTGTGTAGTGGAGGATTGGACAGTGCTACAAGCCCTCCTGCCCTAGGCATACTCCAAACCAGACCTCCTATGCCTCCAACTGCTTTTAAAGCTAAGAGGAACCAGCTGGGTGTTCATCCCCACCCCACTAAGTCACCCCATCAATCCACACGCCTAGGAACCTGCAGTGGACAATCTACAGTCAGGTGCTGGATGGCAGAAATGCATCTGGAAGAATAGGGAGAGAGAAGCAGCCAAACATGATGGTTCTGGGGATTAGCCTACTGAAGTGACCCAGCAAGGCACTCACTGCATGGGGACTTGCTTAACACTAAGTGAGGCTTTGAGGGCACAAGTCTCTCACCTGCAGGCCAGGGGCGGGGGGGAGTGCAGCCCAGGTTGGAATTGACGAAGCAGTTACCACCTGCAGGGCTGACTACTGGCCTGCCAGGTAGTGTTTGGTGGCCTTAATCCAGTTCCCAATGAACAGGAGTTCACAGCACAAGCCGCCACCACCAGTCTTGCCACCCTTGTTGGCAGTCTCAAAGAGGCCAAGGATTGAATGGGCCATGGAGACTGAACTCCCCTCTCACCTCTTGAGGTGGTCCCTCCAGGTCAGAGTTGAGGCACATTGATGGGGCGGTGTGGGGGTAGCTTGCACTGCCGCTGCTGTACCTGTCCTGTGGATAAATAGAGGACTTCAGTCTCCAGGGCTGTCAATCCAAAACCTTTCGCCAACACCAAAGTCATATAAAACTTACTCTGATCAAGGGCTAACCTGTACTAAAGACAGACGCTGGCTTACTCCAACTCATGTCACATCAGTAGCACCAGACAATGCGAGATTTCCCAACTGCCGGCACCTTCAAGGGCAGGGGGGCCTGCACAGGCAAAAGGAGTCTTGCTCTCTAAAGGCATAACAGGACTAACCTGCCACAAGACCAACCTCAGGATGCAAGTGAGGTTCTGCCACTATATCTTCAGTAACCTCCCATGTGCCTTTCCACTGCCAATTAACTGCCTAGCAAGCTGTCAAGAGCCTCTGGGAGGGTAGGTAATATGAATGGGGCAGGAAAGAAAAGGGAAGGGATTGAGGCAAGAACAAGAGCACGACAGCACCTTTCCCCCAGCAAGAGGTATCAGCCAGATAGCCCAATATAAGTGGCATGTGAATGTATAAGCACTGGGTGAACTACAGCCAGCCCTGTCCAGGTGCTGCCTCTAAATTTCTATTACTGACTGAAACTATCCATTAACACTCTGCTCTGCCATTTTTCACTTTCACAGCCAGCATTTACAGCAATTATACCCCACCCGTTAGCCAAAAAGGCTCTTAGACAGGCTTGCAAATATTTGCTTAGTTCACCCCACCAAACTCACTTTGAAGCTTCTGCACTGTTGGTATAGCCTTCTTTTAAAAAATAATACAGGTGGGCATTGAGGCACTGTGCTCAAAAGCAGTCCAATGACAAAGTCCCCAGAGTGTTCCGACTCCACTCCACATACTTATGCAGAAGTCTTTTCTGGGCATGAAGTTCTGAGAGGCTTTAGCTTCTCAAACTCTCATGCCTCAACCTCACGTGAGATCTATCTGCCTAAAACAGTTGCAAGTATCTGCAAGTCCAGCTACAACTTTAAAATGCCTTGTAGGATCTATCTGAACTTGCACAGCCCACTCAAGCACACGTTTCAATGAAATCCATGGTAACGGTAACAGGATTCCAGCAAGCTGAGAGACTGAAGTCCCATCCTGCAATGGCCACAACAATGCGCTGTTTTACCAAAAATTTAACACATCTGTATCCAACCTTTCTGTGTACTGGAAGCAATTACATAATAGCACTGGGAAGCGAGTCAGATCCAGTATTATTTGGCATCTCTTTAATGTGTCCTCCCCAAATTTTAGTTAACAATCAGCATTTAAATCATCCTTAAGTCATTACCATCTAGTAAAAGGAAGTAATTCCAGAATGTTCTGAATTTTGGATTCAGTATCATAGGATTATCAGCCATATCTCCACCTCACATTCCCAATCCTCTAGGTTCCAGTTCTCCCAACACCTGTCCTTCTCGTTATTCAGCCCCTGCTGCTTTAGAACAACTGTTCAGAATAATTCAAAGCCTACTGCAATCAGCCACTAATTTGAACACTGTCTTAAATTGAAGGCCAGAAAAAATTGTGGGCTGACTTGTGGTCTTACGTCTGAAGCAGATTTCAAATTCCAGCTAACTCCCCCAACCCACACTGCTGACTACGATTCCCAAAGGACCTCAGAGCCTGTTGAACATTTGAAAGCAGCCTCCAAAGAACAAAACCAAAGCAGCAGAGGTAGCACTATGCTGGCCAGATGGGCAGCACAGGTGATAAAGCATGCAGAGTGGTTTGATGTGTGCTGGCAGTGTTGAAGCTTGGTAGGCTACTATATTATTGCCCCCAACCCATGCCCAACAAGAGGAATGTCCTTACCTGACCGCCTGCAAAGATGACAGGAGAACTGGATGGCTTGGGTCGGTAGGGGATGGTGACACCCTTTGGGGGAGACTAGATTATAAAAGAGTAAGAGGAAAAACATGGTTAATTATACACTCTGGTTAAGCATCTGTCACAGAGCTATATGGGTCAGTTTATTCGCTGTCTGAACAGATGAGCTACCCACTTCACAGTCTTCCTCATTTGACTGGCACTGCTGTGGAGGCAGTAGTGTCATCAAAATCCGAGACACAAAGCATTGATTTCGATTTCTTCACAAGTTTCTCACATCTGTGGTTCTAGACGTGCAAGGCAGGCTTCGCCGAGGTGTCATGGGCAAGTGGGCAGAAGGTCAAGCCACTACAACAAAAGGAGGGGCATGCACAAGACCACTTTGTAGGGTCTCGGGTTGAATCAGACTGCAGTTATTTGTTACATCAAGTAATCACCAATCTGAGCTTTTTGTGAGCTGCTCACATTAGATCAAGGATTGATACCTCCAAGTGCACCTTCAGTTGTACTGCAGGTGTTGCTTTCAGGCAGCCTAAACTGCTTTTATACTGACTTGGCTCTGATGGTTCTCTTCCAGGAAATACTGTGGACAGGAACCCACTAAGAACCAATGGTTTCTTTGAAAATATCCAGTGACCTTCGCATCACTTAAAACCAAAACTACACCGCTACTAGGGAGAGGCAGCTGTCAGTGTAAGAATTCTGTAGCAACTGTTCCAAATCTAGAAAGCAGCTGGCCACAATCTCTTCTGCTTGTCTCAAAAGCTTTTAGCAACAATCCCTCTGTAGCCTCTCTCGTTTATTTGTGCATTGTGTGTGCATTTACTCATTTTAATCTCGCATCTTAAATAAACCAGGTCACTCCACCATTACTCACCTCCAGCATGACCACACAGATCTGTTTGACGCACTCAATGATGGACTGTGGAATCCCGGCAATGGTGATCGCTCTCTCAGTTGAGTTGGGCAACATGTCTCCAGCCACCTGGACCTGTGCCCCCGTGCTCTTAAGATTAAAAATACCAAGTCAGGTTTCCAGCCTCATGTTTAGTGGCCTCACAGAAGGACACAATCAAATAGCAATAACTTAGCTTCTTCTCCAAAGTGATTTAGAACTAGTCGTGAGAAGTTAGTGCATGGCTACATTACAGAAATCACAAGATCTGTTCCAGCATACTATCCAGTGTTCTTAATAAGCCCCTGAAGTCCAGCTTTCATGAGGACAAATTTATTGAATTTTAATGAATTTTATAATGAATGATTTTAGAGTGTTGTTTATGCTGTACTTTTGTATTGTTTTATTGTTGTTAGCCGCCCTGAGCCCGGCTTCGGCTGGGGAGGGCAGGATATAAATAAAATTTATTATTATTATTATTATTGCTCTCAAAGCTGCATAAATAAACTAGGAGGTAAATACAAGGTTTTGCAGGCACCATTCTTACTGAAGACTGGACTTGTCAGACAGGATCATTCAATCCTGTATGACAGCCACAGGGAAAGAATCCCACAAGTCCTATCACTACAGTGCTTACTTTCTATTCCACAAAGGTGGGGAAAAGATAGTAGTAGTTAAAGGCAAATTTTGCATTTAGGAACAAGGAGCTTTAGATAAAGGGAAGATATAGGAATGGAATAAATCTGAAAAGAAAGGCTATGGGGGGAATTATCCAGGAGAAGAGAGAGGCATGCACCCTTGGTTGAGGCAGGAAATGAACTAATGGAAGGGCTTCAAGACGGAAAGCCAACCAAAAATAACTTTCTTCTTTCCTCTTAACCGGAGGAGGATGGGAACAGAGAAAGCAAACTCCATAATGGATACAATCCTAATCAAATGGAAAGGTTAGTGTAGGTTTGTGATACCAGGGCCAAACATTAGGAGACAATAGTTCACCTATGTTTAACACTTTGCCACAGCAGCAATGCTGAACTGGCAATTGGTATCTGTAGGCCTGCAGCTGACGTTAAGTAGGAGTGCTTGCCAACATGGCGTTCTGCCCAGAGTACGTAGTCAAGACAATTGAAACCAACTGCAAATGGATAGCTAAAAGGAAATCTCTATTTCTAGGCTAGCTCAATTTTAAAGTGGTGCAAGAGGCAGAAATGGGCAATAAAAATCAGAATTCATTATATTCCACCCTAAACACTCATGGATGGGCTGAAGCACATAATGAAAATGTAGCCTTCTCCTATGCTTTGGAGACTAACTTATATTTTTGAGGATTCAGTTATGTAAAGTTTTAACCTGGCCTATACCACTTAATATGCCATGTAGACATATTTATTGTTCTGAAATGTTTCAACCCATGCACCCATTTGTTTTTAAAATGAGGGTTTTCGATCAAATAGAACTAAGGTCTCTCCCAAGACTCAAATTGAGAGAAATATTGCACAACCAAGATACATGGAGGAAAAGCTCTAAATGGGCCCCCAAAGGTGAATATTAATAGTTATTCTATGCTGATACAGTAGCTGAAGTATTAACACTCCAATGTCTTCGCATTCATAGCACCAATGGATTTAATTTGGAAAGGGGGATGGAAAGAGACTGATTAGGTAATGTGGTCAATACAAATCCCAGATGCCAGCCTTGCATATAACTCAACTTCTTTAAAGGTCTTAGTCTGCCGCTTATCTGGCAATAAATTGACCCTGGAGATAAAGGACGGGAGACCAAAAGGGGAACACAAACTTACAAAAAGCACCTGACTCCACTGCGCTTGGCTCCAGCCGCTCTTCGTCTCAGTTTCATGAGCACTAAATATAAGCGGCTGTATTAAGCAGGATGACGCAGAGTCTATGTGTGGCATTCAACCTCAATACATTTGGCACAGGGCGGGGTCATGGTGAAGGGGAACGAGTAGCATTTTGTAACACACGCAAACTTCACAAGTCTAAGTACACACCTCTCTTATCTCCTTGATCTTGCAACCTCCTTTTCCAATGAGAGAGCCACATTGGCTGGCAGGTACCACAAGTCTCAGAGTGACGGGGGGCCTGCTAGAAGCCGTGCTGTTGGTCATTGAGCTGCTGATGTCCTGAAAGCACAAGTTAACAAACTTCAACTATCAAAATTTCAAATGGAGGTTGAAATTTCAAAATGAAGATGCCCAAGATACCAAAAATGTGAGGTTCCAGCAATGCATACACTTTCTAGAGGACCAAAGAGTCCAAGTATTTGTGCCATCATTATAGTCCATCAATTTGTTATCTATGCAGCACTTATGTTTATAGCAGGGTTCACAACATACTGCCTGCAAATGCACATGTGCCGACAGTAGCCTTCCCTGCTGCTCACTAGGCCCCCTCCCCTCATTGAAATTAGGCTTGAAAGAAGTATTTTATTGCAGTCTATAGAATAGGTCACAATGTGTGCTTGGTTGTGATGGGTATACAGTGCCCACAACAGTTTATCCGGTTTGCAAGTGTGCCCACAGGCCCCAAAACACTGGCAACCTCTGGTTCACAACCGCTTCTGCTTAGGAAACTGTTCTCATATAGTCACAGGCAGAAGCTGTATTGATAAAAATTTTAAAATATGGCTAAACTGCTTAATTCACCTTGTTCTTCCACAATATCCTGATGACTCAATTTTCCTGCACCATAAACTCCTTGATGGAGTATGAGTAGAATGCAAAAAGCATGCTCATTAATTGTTAATAAGCCACCTTGGGAGCATGAACTGGAACATGTACAATTTTCTTAAGCTTAGTTATATTCTTAATAAGGAGATATACTTTATGGTGCCCTTGGGCTAGCTAATTAACTCCCCCATGTACTTTTCCAGAGATTTCTCTTATAGCATGAACCATGAATACTGTGGGTGTCTAGAAGCAAGCTCCTATCCAGCAAAAATCCACAGAGTAGATACTCTCTGCATCCCAGAGGCTGTCCATCATTCTACACTGTAAGAAAGTGAAAAAATTGCTGCAGCCAGATGTCAACTCTAAACTGGTTCAGTAGAGCCAAGCCTGCACAACATTCATGAAGGCCTGGCACTCAAGAAACAAAAACCCTCTGTTAGTGCCAGAGCTTATATTCAGTATCTTTCATACATTGGCTATGATGTAAGCCTTACAAACAGCACAGCCTAAGCATCTAAACTCAATAGCTGCAACAGCTATTCTGTTAAGCAAGCTGCAAATCTCCATGCCAGGAGCAATAAGACACCATCTTTCACAAGTCAAGGACAGAAGCTCGAACCTTGTGGGGGAGGTAGGGAAGCAAAAAGTGTTCTCGGGTTACTGACATTCTGCTAATGCTCAAGCACTGAATTTCAAAAGTTTAAAGAGGCACAGCTTACAACAAATCATACAGCTGCGGTTAAGTGAACAGGCATTTTGCTTTAAGAGATATCACTAGAGAAGTACCTTCCTATCTTGCTAGACTTATTTTAGCTTGCCAGAAAGTCAATCTTATGCTTCAATCTTTGTTTATTCCTATAGTGTTCTAATGAAACAGCAGGGCGAATGAACTTTGCAAAAAATATAAGATCCTAAGTAAATGATGACTTCAACAAGCTACTAATTTGAAAGGCAACTGAAAACCAATTGCAATTTGGAACATTGTACCAGTCCAAATTTGGCAGTAAACTTGTAACTGAGCAACATAAAAAGTGAACTATTTGCCGAACTTGGAGAAATGCTTTAAGATATGAAGTTCTCTATATTATTGAGCAACGATCAAATTGTTTTAATCAAGACAGCCATTCCATTGCTATACTACCAAATTATCAAGATTAATCCCCATGCTCCAAAATTTTCTACTCAAGGGAGTCCTAGAGTCCACTGTGTAGAATTGAAATTCCATGTTTCCACAAAATGTGGTGTATGAGTAAATAAAGCCCATTTGTATTTCTCATTGTTTGCAGTAAAGATGGTAACCACATTCAATACTGCCAGAAACGATGGGTCCATATCATCACCTCCAACACAACAGCAGATGGAACACACATTATTCAACCCTTAAAAAGGGGGGGGGTCACATACCTCTTCCAGTTTGTCAATGATCATAGCAAATGCTTTGAAAATTGCATTAGTGGGTCCAGCAAGAGTGATAATCCGTTCTGGGCAGTTCCCTTCTGAGATGTTAATGCGAGCACCACTCTAAAAGGGGGGGAGGGGAACGGAGTTATAGAATCAGAGTTGGAGGGGACCCCAAGGGCCATTCAGCCCAACCCTCTGCAAGGCAGGTCAAAGGAGACTTCCCTTTCTAACTCTGTCTCTTCCTCCCACCACCGTTTGATTTTCTAGTAAGACAGCCATCCTATGCACACTTATTTTGGAATTAAGGCTCAATCAATTTATTGTGATTTACTCCAAATAAATATGCAAAGGATAAGGCTGCAGGTTTTAGTGCATTAGGCAGATCAGAAGTACCTAGTAGAGATACTGCCAAACTGATAAACACAGCTTTCAGAAGTTGAGATACAAATAGCTATCACTCCTTCCCATCAAGACTGGTTGGGTTTTTTGGAAAGTCATAAATTGCTATGTTCAAGTAGATATTGGGTATGAATAACGTCTTTTCTTTCAAACTGACTGCTATCGCCTCAGTAAACTGTTTCTACCAGGTGAGGAGCCCCTTATTGCCATATTTAACTTTCCCTTGATTTGTTTTCACTGCTCTTATCCCCAAGAACCTACCTCTTCACGCATCTTCTTTACAGATTCTCCTTTCTACACACAAACACACAGAAGAAAGAGAAACTGGTTATTAGTGTCACTAATCTGAATTAAGGAAAGAATATAATAATTACACTGGACCACTCACCTTCCCAATGATGCTTCCAACCTCCTGAAACAGCAAACATAAGAAATATGTAGTTCTCAATCATTCTGACAGTCCAATATAAGCCCACCCTTCAGTGTATAGACAATATTCGGCTTATACCCACCCTCTACGTACAAACAAGCCTTCATCTGCATAACTAACAGTGCAAATTTGGACATTTAAAAGTTGAATGTAGCATCCCTACTAGATGGTGCTCAGGGCAGCTTTATATTTGATTGAACAAAATATTGTAAATCTCTAATTAAATATATTTTAAGGAGGCAGCTTGGTTGCTTTTCCAAGACACACCCAACCAACGTATTACAATATTATATTCTCCACTGGGGTTAACTGAGCGCTCTACTACAAAGAACATGGTACGCCAAGAGCAAACTGATGTTTTAATTTGATCAGACAACTGGGTTTTCCAAGGCATTTACTGTGACCTAGTTTCAGTCTGACGCAACCAAGATGAGGAAAAGCAAGTACCTTCCCATGCATAAGTAGGCGAATAGTAAGTGTGACATTTAAACCTCCTTCGATAACACCAGTGTCCATCTTGAGCTGTATTCAGTTAAGTCAGGCTTGAAAGTGGTCAAATCTTTGGTCGCTGGAAGGAAAATCAACCTATAAAATAAAAAGATTATCTTGTACTGTCGCCACACAAGAATTAACTCATTAATACTGTTTTCTGGCAATATCTGAACACTTTGGTGTCCTGTATTTGTTCTTTTTTCCACACTGTACAGGCCTCAGCATTACATGTATCTTGCATTAGATTTAATCTGAGGAATAGGCCCAGTTGACTGTCACCGACAAGTTGTCAAAGCCACAGATTTGCATGTGCTTACTGTCACTAATCAGTTGATGCGCAGAAGTTTACACCTCCTATGTGTTTATTCACAAACTGGTCAGGTAGTACTTAGTAGCCAAATGTGTTAATGCCCATTGGAGACTACTGGTTAAAGACGATCCCCTGAACGCTCATGGCACAGAATAGACATATCCCCTTGAACAACTTGACCTCCTCCTTCCTTTGCTAGAAGGAGAGATAGAGATCAATTGTCACTTTCAGTTTCCAGTTCCATTGCTCAGCAAACTACAAATAGCTTCAGCAGAAGCACTTCCCAGTCACTTTCACAGCTTCATCTGCACTATTTTTATTTTTTTTCAAAATCCGTCTATTTTGACAAGATGTATGCCTGCTGCTGAACTTCATGGTTCTTTTTGTCAACTATAAGTAACAAGAACCCCATTACCCATGCCACGAAACTTAACTTTAACCATGTAAAGTAACAGCTTTTAAGCATGAGCAGAATGTTTTTTCCATACTACTGAACAGTGACAGGAAGTCACCTTTTAAGTAGGCTTAGGGGTAATTGACTCATTAGAGAACATGATGTCATTTTCAAAGCAAGTGAAAGTCATATATATAAAAGTCATTCTTTCATATATATGAAGAGAAAAAATAACAGCAAGCAACTTCCAAGCTGAAATCTTTTTTCTTCTAAAAGAACTATAAATCAGATAATAAAATAATTTTTAACACTAATCTAAGATCAAAAAGCAAAAATCCAAATAAAAGTCTTAACTCTTAAAAGTCACCACTAGTTTGCTGCTTCTGCAACATTGCACAAGTTGGTACCTATCTTTTAACAATGTAAACACTGAATTCTTATTTATCTCAACTAATCCATTTAACTTCCAACATTCAGGAAATTTATTTACAGGGATTACTACCTACAATAACACCTTGAACCATGTCATCGATTTTAAGTCAAAATGTATGGAAAGGAAGGTTGTCAACCCTAAACTGATTTTGGTTTTATAAAGAAGTCACATAGGCCAATCCTCCAACCACCGGAAGCCTAAAGTTGCAATTTTTCTTTAAGTTACCAGTGAAGTTCCTATTTACAGTATTTTACCTTCCCCAAGGTCTCAAACCACCTCCCACCCTAAAGCTGCCCACTCTAACGAGCAATTATAAACTTGCAGATCTGCACCTTGCACCACCTAAGTCTGGAGTCAAACCTATTTCAAACTCGTAGAGGGGTCGAGGGTGAGGGGAACGAGTATATTAAACAGGTCTCACATCCTCATACTAAAACTACTTTATTAAAAAAAATCTCCTTCCACCGGGCAGTTTAATAGAAACAGGGCTCTATTTTAATTTTTATACTTCTATTATTAAAGCTCCGCTACAAAGTTCTCACAATGACTTTCCGCCAGTGGAGAAGAGCTGCCTAAAAAAGAATCGGAGGGAGAAAAAAATTAAGAAGGGGGCGCTGTATAGCTGGCGGGACGCGTTTTGAAATAACACGACGCAACTGTCCTGTTTTCTCTTCCCCACCCCTCCCGCTCCCCGCCCGCTCCAGCCATGAGATCCGCCCGCCCGCTGCTGCTGCTGCCGCCGCCGCCGGCCTTGCGCTTGGGCCCGCGAGCCAGGCCTCCCTCCATTCTCTTACTCACAGCCGGCCGCCTTAGCGTCAACCTCCTCCTCCTCCCCCCCCCCCGCTCAAAGAGAAATCCCCGCCCCTCTCCTCCTCCTCCTCCCCCCGCCATCACTCTCCCTCGCGCGCAAGAGGCCTGGGCCCACATCCCGCTCGATGTGACGCAGCAAGAGCGCCCCCCCAACTACATACATACACACGCACGCAGCCATCCAGTCCACTGCGGCCCCCCCTCAGCCGCGTTCCACGCGGGGCCCGCTCCTCCCCGAGACGCAAATGGCAGCAACAGCGCCACCCCTCCCCCCACCCACCGACTCCAGGCGCTTCACACGCACTCGGGTGGGACCCGGCCGCAGTAGGCCGCAAGCGCATCCTCGGGCTCGCGTAGCGACCCGGCCCGGCTCGAGGCGCAGGGTTGGCGGAAGAGCGCAGCTACTCGAGGCCGGGGATTCGGAAAGGGGGGGAGGAGGGGGAAAAAGACGAGTACTTTCCATGGGGCGGTGGGAAGCCCTTACCTGGCGGGGTGGCTAGGCCCGGCCGCTCACGCGTTCGTTCGCTCCCTCGCTGGGGCGGGGAAGGGGACGGGACGGGGGGGAGCGGGAGGAGGGAGGGCGGGTGGTGCGCGGGTCTCCGGGGCGGGCGGAGGGAGCGGGACGGGGGGAGGGGAGGAGGAGAGAGCCGGGGCGGGCGGGCGGGATGGCGGCGGCGGGAGGAGGGCAAGGGCAGCGGGAAGGGGCTGCGGCAGCTGCTCTTGCGGCGGCGGCCTCGGCGGGTCTGGGAGGGGGAGCTGGAGAGCGGGGCGATTTCAACCCCGCCTTGACCCGGAAACGATAAGAGCCCTCCCCTCTCCTCCCCCGTGCAGACCTCTTCCGCGCTGGAACGACAGAGACGCCCCGGCCAGCGCGTCTTTTCCCCGGCGGACGTTGCAATGCCGACCAGAGAGAGGGGGCCGTTGGAAGCGAGCCGGGGGCGCTGGCTAGAGCGTCGCCCAGCGAAAGAGCGGCGAGATACCCCCTGCAGGCCGCGTGCTGCGCAGTCTTCCAAAAGCAGCGTGGCTCCAGTAGGGAACTATGGAGAAGAGGAGGAGGAAAGGGACGGAGGGAGGAAGAAAGGAGGCAGCCATCTCTCGCGCGCTGCGCTTGTGCATATGCAGATACAAAGGCTGTTCCCAACATCCCTTCAGGACTTCAGCATAATTGAGAGAGAGGAACCAGGAGGAGGTGGAAGGGGCAGAAGTGGCTCAGAGGAGCTCCTGTTAAGTTTTATAGGACAAAGTAAACTGACAAAAAGAGCTGGGACGGAATCGGATTGGGGGTTGAGAAGAGTCCCTCGCCCCCGACCCTGTTCTCCAGGGCGCCCTTGTCAGTGCCTTTGCTTCTATTAGGACATGTGCTTTGGGACGCCTTTGTGAGGGGGAAACCTGGGACCCCACCGACTCACGTCCCCTTGTGACATATATTCCACACCCATCACCATGACGGTGTCTCTAGTCAAAGCACACAAATTTTACCATTGACTTTTACACATGTGATGTACAGTGGTACCTCGGGTTACATACGCTTCAGGTTACATACGCTTCAGGTTACAGACTCTGCTAACCCAGAAATAGTACCTCGGGTTAAGAACTTTGCTTCAGGATGAGAACAGAATTCGTGCAGCGGCGGTGCAGCAGCAGCGGGAGGCCCCATTAGCTAAAGTGGTGCTTCAGGTTAAGAACAGTTTCAGGTTAAGAATGGACCTCCAAACGAATTAAGTGGTACCACTGTATCTGAACTGTATGTGTGTGTAGATGTAGTCTGGCTTACTCAAAAGGTTTGAGATTGGTAATGCGATTTAAACAACATAAAGCATCTGAATAAAACGATACAGTAAAAATCTACCACCGCCAGCCATTAAAAGAAGCTCTTCAATAAATGGGTCTTGCAGTGCTTCTGAAACATGCTTTGTTGTTTAGTCGTTTAGTCGTGTCCGACTCTTCGTGACCCCATGAACCAGAGCACGCCAGACACTCCTGTCTTCCACTGCCTCCCGCAGTTTGGTCAAACTCATGCTGGTAGCTTCGAGAACACTGTCCAACCATCTTGTCTTCTGTCGTCCCCTTCTCCTTGTGCCCTCCATCTTTCCCAACATCAGGGTCTTTTCTAGAGAGACTTCTCTTCTCATGAAGTAGCCAAAGTATTGGAGCCTCAGCTTCACAACCTGTCCTTCCAGTGAGCACTCAGGGCTGATTTCCTGAAGAATGGATAGGTTTGATCTTCTTGCAGTCCATGGGACTCTCAAGAGTCTCCTCCAGCACCGTAATTCAAAAGCATCAATTCTCCAGCGATCAGCCTTCTTTATGGTCCAGCTCTCACTTCCATACATCACTACTGGGAAAACCATAGCTTTGACTATACGGACCTTTGTCAGCAAGGCGATGTCTCTGCTTTATAAGATGCTGTCTAGGTTTGTCATTGCTTTTCTCCCAAGAAGCAGGCATCTTTTAATTTCATGACTGCTGCTTAGGCTCTGGCTAATCTCCAGGAGCTCTGCCTTTTAGGGAGCAGGGTGCACAAGTTGGCTACCAGTCATCACATTTTAGAAGGAGAGGTGTTTCCAAGGATCAGGCCTGCCAAGACGCCACATTCTCTGAAACTGACCTTGGAATTCCACCCACATTCCCACAGTGTGCTTTGAATGGGATTGCTCAGTGACAAATGAGTTTGGGCAGAATCTGACATTTGGAAACATAATCCAAGCCATGATCTTCATGAGACTTGACAGCCGCCCCCCCAAAATACCTGGTCTTGTAGCCTTGTTCTGCTGGCTTAGTACACAGATGGTAGTGTTTTCAACTTTACACAAAAATATGGATGGACTTGAGCCATCTCTAGCCATTAGCCCCTTTGACAAGTAATTGAGATATTACAACTAGAGAGCTCTAAACTTTGAAGGGTTTTTTCAGTCATGGTGCCCCAGGCACGCCAGCTAACATCGTTGACTATTCCATGCAATTTTTGAAGATAATTGAAGCTGCTGTGTCTTAGATGGCTTCCCTCCCCCTTCTTATAGTATTTTAATGTTTTAGGAAGGGCGACATAATTATTTTGTTGTGTTTACACTCAGTATGTACATCACCTTAAAGGTAAAGGTAAAGAACCCCTGACAGTTAAGTCCAGTTGCGAACGACTCTGGGGTTGCGGCGCTCATCTCGCTTTACTGACCGAGGGCGCCGACATTTGTCCGCAGTTTTTCCAGGTCACGTAGCCAGCATGACTAAGCTGCTTCTAGTGAAACCAGAGCAGCACACGGAAACGCCGTTTACCTTCCTGCCAGAGCAATACCTATTTATCTACTTGCACTTTGATGTGCTTTTGAACTGCTAGGTTGGCAGGAGCTGGGACTGAGCAACGGGAGCCCACTCCGTCGCGGGGATTCGAACTGCCGACCTTCCGATTGGCAAGCCCTAGGCTCAGTGGTTTGGACCACAGCGCCACCCGCGTCCTTGTACATCACCTTAGACAAGCGTAAAAAAATAAAACTAAATAATTAAAGAATATTGGGTTGTAGCCAGCAGTAATCACACTCACAATAAGCCCATTTAAATTAATGGACATGACAAATTTAGGCTCACTAATTTCAACAGGTCTATTCTAAGTAAATGTTAGTTGGCTACAGTTTTATATGAATCAGTCTGACGCAGAAACACTGTCCCCAAATCCCAGATTTATGAAGGGCAGCAATGATTATGCAGTGATGAAGGAAATACTTCTTTAAAAAACAACAACCCTAAGGGACATTGCAGAGAGGCAAAACAGAATCTGTGAATTAGCCCTAAGAAAAAAGATAATTTGTCCACACCATGGAACAAACACTTCCTTTGACTCATAATAAAGGGTTCAGTAACAAAGTACTGATGGAAGTGTGCTCTGATCCACGAAAGCTTCTGTCTCTTAGTCTTCAAGGTGCTTTTTTGTGGCAATCACTTCAGTAGTTCTTTTTGGGGGGGAGAGGACTGAAAAAAGCCTCTGTGTTTCATTGTGCTGAACACCTTCGTGTGCAATTGCAGCAAAATAGACATCCATGTGATCTGTACTCTTGCTGGTATACATTCGTTTCCCTATGTGAACGCTGCATCCTTGTAGGAAAAAGTCCTCAGTTTGCTTAGTTGTGCAAACCCGGGGGTGAATGTGTAGAAATACATGAAGGAAACTGACAGTGGCATAAAACAGATCAGAGTGTGAACAGCCTTCTTTATTTTAACAGGTGTTAACTCTCACACAATGTCGGTGCTATTTCAATTTGCTAATTTATTCTCAATCTCACAGGAACATTCAGCTATTCAAGGATACAGAGGTAAATCCTGCTCTGTGTCCTTGTTGCTAAAGAAAGGCTGTACCTGTCTTTATGACAAGGATATGAAAATGATCCATTAAAAAAAACAGCTAGGAGGAGAAGAAAGTCCATGCTTCATAATGTGTATGCAAACAAGCCCTTACTATGTCTGCATATGGAGAAAATTATTTTAAGTTGACACTTGAGAGACAAAGGGATCTAAATAATAAAATTGGAACAAGTGCAATTTAAAAAAGAAAACTGACTATGGTTGTGCGCTTGCTTGTACCTTTAAAGCAGTTTCAAAGCTCAAAGAATTCTGGGCCCTGTAGTTCACCTCTCAGAGAGTTACAATTTCCAGGTGCCCCAAATTCTTTGAGGGGGGAAATGTACCGTATTTTTTGCACCATAACACTCACTTTTTTCCTCCTAAAAAGTAAGGGGAAATGTCTGTGCGTGTTATGGAGGGAATGCCTACGGGTGGCATGCCTACAGATTTTCCTCCTCTAAAAACTATGTGCGTGTTATGGTTGGGTGCGTGTTATAGAGCGAAAAATACGGTACTTTTAATCTGCTTTAAACGTATAATGTGTAAGGAACCTAAGAGATAAACTAAAACTAACCCCCTCCTTAGTAGCATGTAAGCATGCTTCCATGGACTAGTCATTCTGATTTGTTTGCAGGGAGATTAGCCAACTTTGGCTATTTAATGAGCATGCACTCAGGGAGGTGAGGTTATTTTGCATCAAAGCAAGTCCGTTCCAGTACATTTTCCACAGAACTTTACCTATCACAAAAAGTCCAATCTTTTGAGGAAGTGGGTTTGTTTCACAAGACTGCCTTATCAACTATAATTGCTAACCTGAAATTTCCAGTACAGTATATGGCTGAACCCCAACTGAAAATAGTGAAGAGTCTGGAAGCAACCCTGTTTGGCAAGAGCTTGTCTAAATCACTGCATCTCCATCTTTCTGAAAAGCAATTGAGTATGACACTGATGGGCTTCTGTGGAGTGTGAATACAACAAGGGCACAACTACCAATAAAGACTGAATTGGTTAAAAACAATATGTGCAAAGATGTGTTTTTATTTTAAATAGGGCTCATAGCTGTAGCCAAATCAATTCCAGTCTTCCCTGTTGTGTGAAAAGATAGTTCAATTGACTCAGCTTCCCTTTTTTAACATTCTGGGTGGAGGGTAGAAGAAAAAGAAGGGGCAGTTCTTTTCAGAGCACTTGAAAACAAAGTCTCCCTCCCATCCCACTCAGCTTCCTCAATACCCAGGATTGTCGCCAGCAAGAACTCCCAGTTCCCAGACAGAGCCGCACAATCAAGCCGGCTAGAGAACACGCCTCACCTTGCCTTCATTTGCAACACCTGGCAGATCACAATGCCTTGCAGGTGGGCTGTGCTTCTAACTTGGATGGTTTTCCAAAGGTGGGTGGGGAGCCTTTTTTCCACTCCAAAGGTTGCATTCCCTTATGGGCTATCTTCAGAGGACCACTTCCCATTCATTGGTCAGCAGGGACAATTAAAGCAGATTTTACATTTCTTTTACAGTGAGCCTGTGTCTATACACACTGTGCTCCCCTCTGCATCCTCCATCGAGACAGCGAGAGGTATTATCAGAGAGTTCAAGGACACATTCCAGCCAGGCAAAAACAGCTGAAATGGAGCAGCGCCAGTGAGGGAGGGATCAAGGGTCAGTCAGAAGTTGTGGGGGCTGCCTTTCACGCCTTAGGCCCGAGGTTCATCACCCTTGCTTTAAAAGAAAATTCCTGATACAGTTTTGCCAATAGCAGCTAATAACGATGGCTATGGAATACAGTAGTACCTCCAGTTACAGATGCTTCAGGTTACAGACTCTGCTAACCCAGAAATAGTACCTCGGGTTAAGAACTTTGCTTCAGGATGAGAACAGAAATCCCGCGGCGGCAGCGGGAGGCCCCATTAGCTAAAGTGGTAACTCAGGTTAAGAACAGTTTCAGGTTAAGAACGGACCTCCAGTACGAATTAAGTTCTTAACCTGAGGTACCGCTGTATAGAATACAGTGGTACCTTGGTTGTCAAACGTAATCAGTCCGGAAGACTGTTCGACTTCTGAAACATTCAACAACTGAGGTGCAAATGGCAGTCAGAAAAATCAGTGGAGAAAATTGAAACAAACGCAGCGGAAGCCGTTCAGCTTCGAAGGTGCGTTCGAAAATGGAAGCATTTCCTTCCGGGTTTTTGAAACCTGGGCGTTCGAAACCCAAAGCGTTCGGCTTCTGAGACGCTTGAAAACCGAGGTACCACTGTATACATTCAAAACACCATAACTAACAGGAAACTTAAAATATTGTCTTAAAAGATGTCAAAATAAAACATAACTGAAGGAGGTCAAATATAGAATGCACCTTTAAAACAGCACAGTGGCTCATGCCTTGGTAACCTCAAGGCTTGATTGCTGTAACATGCTTTTTTGTGGGGCTGCCCCAGTTTCTGGTTCAGAAGCCGCCATTAGCCAAGGTGTTCATAGGAACAGGGGGCTGGCAACATGTTACTCTGCTGATGAGCCAGCAGAGCAGAGCAGACCAGGGGGTGTGGGGTTCCCCACACCCCCTGAGGGTCACTTGGCTATCACTAGGGATCGTGCCTTGAGTGACGCAGGCCCTGCAGTGTGGAACTCCCTAAAGTTGAGGACACGGGTGGCACTGTGGTCTAAACCACCGAGCCTCTTGGGCTTGCTGATCAGAAGGTCGGTGGTTCGAATCTGCACAACGAGCTCCTGTTGCTCTGTCTCAGCTCCTGCCAACCTAGCAGTTCAAAAGCATACCAGTACAAGTAGATAAATAGGTACCACTGCAACGGGAAGGTAAACGGCGTTTCCATGCACTCCGGCACTTGTCACGGTCCTCCGTGCACCAGTAGCAGTTTAGTGCTGCTGGCCACATGACCCAGAAAACTGTCTGTGGACAAACGCCGGCTACCTCAGCCTGAAAGCGAGATGAGCGCTGCAACCCCATAGTCGCCTTTGACTGGATTAACCGTCCAGGGGTCCTTTACCTTTTACCCTTAGCAGAAACTACCCCGTCTTGCATGCCTTTACAGCACGCTCTCCCCAGAGAGGCTCACCTGGTGCCATCATTACATGTCTTTAGGCGCCAGGCAAAAACATTCCTCTTTCCCCAGGCCTATGGCCGTTAAATCATCCGTGGCCTGTGAAAGTGTGGGGAAGAGGAGTGTTATTAATTATTTTACTATCTGTCTGGCAGAATCCGAGACCAGAGAGAAGAGACAGTGAAAGAAGACTGGAAGAAATTTAAAGACTATTTACAGAAATATTGTAAAATTAAGGAATCTTAGAAGGATGTTGGATAGAAACTAAGGGGGTTTTTTTAGCTGTAATGCTGTAAGAGATATGAAAAAAAGGTTTGCAACTGGGTAATTTCAATGGTAAGGATTTGCTGAATCAACAAATTGAACTGGAATACAAAAAAAGGGAGGTATGAGGAGGTCCGGGGAAATAAGTATAAGGAAGATAGGTTATGGAAATTTAATGTCCTTTTAATTGTTTTATTCGGTATGTGTTTTTTTTTTGTTTTTTTACTTCTTTGGTTATATTTTTTAAAAAAACTTTATTCTTTTTCTTTCTGTATTCTGTATTTTTTTTGTATTCTTTTTGAAACTTTAATAAATATCATTTAAAAAATTTTTTTTACTATCTGTCCATGTTTTTATTACTGATGTTCTGTAATGCGTTTTTAATGTTGTGCACTGCCCTGGGATCTTTTGAGAAAGGGTGGCATAAATTGAATACATGATAATAATGATGATTTTCTAATTAATTTGAAACCAGTCAGTATTGATTGATGTTCTTAGGGTTGTTGTTTTTAAATAGCCTTATATGTTGTACTGAACAGCTTAGATGAGCACCTTGCTATTTTTTCGTTAGCAAACAAATAAAATGAAAGGGAGGTCTTTGGGTCTGATCAAGCAGGACTTTTCTGTTGCTGGGGGGTCTCAAACTGAGGAGGCCTGCTTTAGGCACTCGGCTGTGGTAGCAGAGGAGCCTCTCAGCATGCTTTTCTATTTTCGTCCTGCTATTTAAAGTGTGTGTGTGTGTGTGTGTGTGTGTGTGTGTATATATATATATACACACACACACACATACATGTCATCAGTCCCTTAATGTGACTTAAAAATTTAAGCCGCTCTAGGGAGAACAGTTCAAAAAATTGGGAATACCATTTACCCATCCAATAGAGTCCGCCTTTTGAAAGGCTAAAGTCAATCACCCGTTTTTCTAAACAACACAAGTCACGGGGGAGCAGGTTTTTGAGCTGGTGGTCCGCTGGGCTGTGCTGGGGAAAGAAGGCAGCTGTCCGCAGCGAAGAGGCGAAGGTTGGCAGCCAGCCATATGTATATGGAGATTGTACATCCATGCCACATATTTTGATATTACATCAGTTTAACAATCACGGCTTACCCCCAAACCTCGAAGTTTGGTGAAGATGTTGAGACTATTCTGCTAGAGAGTCATTAGCTCCTTCTTGAAGGAAGAGGGAAAGGGAACCTCAGAATTAGGACCCAAATGTAGCACTTCCTATGTTCGCCTTATCTGGCCCCTGGGAGTCTCCCTAGGTCACCCTCTCCCCCTCGCCACACCCCTCACCCATCCCAATTTGCACCATCCTTGCCCCGGTTTGGCATGCGCCCTTTGCCATTCATCTGTTTGTTGTGCTGCTGCAATGATGGTTCGGCTTTGCGTTTTGTCTGAACCCAGACCCACGGTTTAGCTGTCTCCAGAAAAAAACACAAGCTACAACCAAGGTTTGTTCCGGAAGACACAAGACCTACCCACACTGGAGGAATGGCAGATGAAACTGATGGACTATATGGAATTGGCAGAAATGACTGGCAGAATCCGAGACCAGGGAGAAGAGTCGGTGGAAGAAGATTGGAAGAAATTTAAAGACTATTTACAGAAATATTGCAAAATTAATGAATGTTAGAATGATGTTGGATTGAAGTTAAGTGGTTTCTAGCGGTATAGGTACAAAAGAATATGGAAAAATTGGTTTTTAATATGTAAAAATTTAATCTTATAATATATCAAGATTAAAGATTAGGATTAAAAAGGAGGGAAAGGAATTGTTGGATTAACAAATTGAATTGGAATACAAAAGAGGGAGGTATGAGGAGGTCCGGGAAACAAGTAAACGTAAAAGAAGTGAAGAAAAGATGGAATTGTTTTTAACTGTTTTTTCTGTTTTCTACTTTGTATTTTTTCTTTTTATTGTTAATTTTTTTTATTAATGTGATTTTTCTTCTTTTGAAACTTTAATAAATATTACTTTTTTAAAAAACAACAACAACCAAGGTTTGTTCCATAGTTTACCGCTCATGGGGTTAAAAGAGAGCTAAACCACGAGTCTAGAACCAGACCAAATGCTAAACCAAACCATGGCTTAGCCACACCGAGGAGGAGCAAGCCAACAGCCACCTCCTGTTTAAAGGTAAAGGGTAAAGGGACCCCTGACCATTAGGTCCAGTCGTGGCTGACTCTGGGGTTGCGGTGCTCATCTCGCTTTATTGGCCGAGGGAGCCTGCGTACAGCTTCCAGGTTATGTGGCCACCATGACTAAGCCGCTTCTGGCGAACCAGAGCAGCGCACGGAAACGCCGTTCACCTTCCCACCAGAGTGGTACCTATTTATCTACTTGCACTTTGACATGCTTTCGAACTGCTAGGTGGGCAGGAGCAGGGACCGAGCAACGGGAGCTCACCCCGTCACGGGGATTCCAACCGCTGACCTTCTGATCGGCAAGCCCTAGGCTCTGTGGTTTAACCCACAGCTCCACCCGCGTCCCTACCTCCTGTTTGGGAGCCTGCAAATTTGCAGCTTGTTCATATTAAACCATATCTGCAAACAAGGTGGTGCAGCCAGAGCCTTTGTTTTCATAAACACAGTGCTTTGCATCGGTTACGATAGAACAGCAGCAGAGGGCTTTGGGCATCCCTGCCATTCCCCTTCTCCCATGTCTGACGTGGTACAAATATCTTCTGGAATGGGCCTGCACAAACTGTGCCCCATCAAGCCTTGCACAGCCCCCCAGCTCTGTGCAGTGACCCACTAGTGGCCAAACAAACCTGCCTGGGCTGTTAACCCTAGAATGGCAAATGGAGGCTGTCAAAAAGGCAGCCAGTCATGCTACTCGGGGGTTGGGCCAAATGGTCAACAGTGGCGCTGGTTTGTTTTGGAAGAATCACAAGACCTTTTCATTCAGATAAATGTTTTGGGCAGCTTTGCCAACACATCCACAAAAGGATACTATCCCCAAATAAAAATGTTTATTAGCCTGCTTACCCACACACATCTGTGTAAAACGTATACATATTGAACCTAAAAGCAGGGGTCAGGTAGAGAGAACAAATGTCTTCCTTAACAAAAGCTGGATAAGCTTGCCTGGTTACCTGGAGACAAGTCTAACTCCCCACAGGTCATTAGACAAACTGACTCTTTACAAGCCTAATTTTAGGAGGGGAAAGGGGATTTCAACTTTCATGTTGAAATATTCTAGCCTTTCAGTCCATTACTTTTAATGCTTCCTACTGCTGGACCTTTGGATATAAGGCAAGATAGAAATCTAAACGAATAATTATGCACTTCCCATTCTGGCTCCACAAACGAGTCCAAAGGGTGACATTTGCATTTATTGGACCGGTTTTAAGAGACTGACGTGGGGAAGGCACAAGGCAAATGTACTTTTTATCCACAAATGTTGTTGTTTGTCAGCAAGGTCCGCATGTGGAGATTGTGTCAATGTACAAAACAGTATCTGCTTTACCCCAGCACAGGATTAGGCCCAGGATTAGCCTACTCATTTTTGTAACTGCCGTTATTCAGCTGCTGAATTATAATAGCAAAATGTCAAAAGGAAATAAACAAGCAGAAGATGATTCATCCCGATACACAGTAATTAGCATGTTGACAATTATGATCTGCTAATGTGCGCTGGATATTGCACAGCGATGCTCCCCCTTTCCTTTGTCGAACAATCTGGAGAATCCCTGACACGCTTAAACTTGCTGTTTATACTCCACAAAGCTTTTCCTCGCACTCTCAAAACATGCACCAAGATATTAAAGAACATTTTAAAAAATGATTTATTTGGAACTTTTGTAACCCGCTCTTCCTGCAACGATCCCAGGGTGGCCTTTAATATGCATTTAATACATATTAAACCAAAATACTAAAACACTAACAATTGTCAGAACAAGGAAGAGTTTTAAAGGATAGCTGTGTGAAGTCATTTTGCTTGGAATCTCTTTGCACTTTTTAACTGGTTGGTCAACTGCAACTTGTTCCTTTTATTCTCCAAGCACATCTGATTGTTCCCTAAGTAGCCCCTTTCTGCAGGGAAAAAGAGCAATTGTGAGTTAAAAAGAGAACATGCTCCCTCCAAGTGCAACGGCTTAGAGTCTTCTATCATTACAGGGAAGGATGTGCGATTCTAGTTTTTTTGGCAATTCATTAAGATACTCCAGCCATCTTGGATCAGATACCCACTTTAATCCACCGAAAACTGTGCCCATGGTTATAGCATTACAATCAAACATGACGCAAACGACCGATGTGTTATTTCCCCATGTTTAAGTTCAGTATTTAAGCTTTCTGAAACACGCCCCTAACAAGATTTTCATCCTCAGTTATATTAAAAAAATGAATCATGCCTCTGAAATAATGTAATAAAGCTACTGAAATGTTCGCACAATGGAGCATAATCATCCCTGATCAAGCACATTTTATCTGCAATATTAAGAAACCTATCATTCAACCTTATATTAAATAAGCAACACACACTTTCCGAATCTCTTCGCTTCTATCTGCCATTTCCCCAGATAGCACAGGAAAGACGATCGAATTGAGGAGCGGGAGCCATTTTTTGAAATTCTTGGGCCAATTTGGATCCATCACCTCCCGTTCAAACCTCAGCCGAAAGTAAGGGTGGCTATGCTTTGGCACTCTAGATCAGGGTTTCCCAAACTTGGCCCTCCAGCTGTTTTGGGACTGCAACTCCCATCATCCCTAGCTAGCAGGACCAGTGGTCAGGGATGATGGGAATTGTAGTCCAAAAACAGGTGGAGCCCCAAGTTTGCAAAACCCTGACCTAGATGTTGTTGCAACTACAATTCCTATCAGTCCCAGCCAGCATGGCCAATGATAAGGGATGATGGGAGGTCTAGTACAATGCCATCTGAAGGCCCACTTCTTTGTCACTTAAAGCACATCTTATCCATTCAATTGGACCCCAAGTGCCTGAGGAAGCCAATCAGAAAGCTTCGGGGTGCTTGAGAAGCAACCTGATTGGCTGCCATTTTGAAGAGCCTACATTTCAGAAGAGCAAAGGCATTTGCAGATGAACTTTACTTAAGCCAATTGGTCGCCTCACATTCTGACTTTCTTAAGACTCATTTGCTGACCCCACCAACCCTGCTTAAATCATCAGCACCAGAGTTCCCATCAGACTTTGCAGGAGGTTGCGCATGCCGTTGGGATAAACTTTGGCCAAACCCTGTAAATAATGGGTGACCCACAAGCAGCCCTCATTGTTATCTGGTGACAGTTAAGTAGATCAGCGCTTGTTGGAAGCAGGAAAACTGGCGCAAGGGTCAGCGTTTGCGGGAAGAGGATACGTCTGGGAGGTAGGAACAGGCCTCAGTCGGAGTCGCTGCTGCTGGAAGAGGAGGAGGAAGGCTGTAAACAGAAGAAGAGGGAGGCTCATGAGACTTCAATTCTGACTCAGTGTTACTGCTACCGAAATCTAATCAGGGCTTTAATCTATCCCAGAGCTCAGCTCAAGAAAATGTCAATTGGGGATATTAATGCCTCATTATCAGCTGAAATTACTGTTTCCTATACACAGAGATTGGATGAAGGAAAAGACAGACTCTGAACAAGTACTGCAGGGGAGGGGAAACTCCTCCCCCCACTGCGAAGAGCCGTTTGCCATGGACAAAGACAACTGGAGTTTGCAGCCGATGGTGGGAGAAGCCAGAGTTAACGGGAACTTGCAGCGTTGAATAGTGCTCCCCCCCAGTGTCACTATTCGGCTGCTGCCTCCCACCGCCCTCCATCATGGTCCATTTTACTGACCCATCCCCAATTAACAAGCGGTCCAAACTGACTACTTGCAAAGGACTTTCCCCACCCTCTTCATCACTCTGTTTGGGATCCATTTCCATTTTGAAGAAGGCTTTCCCCCACCCTTTCGGTTCCATTTTTTTCTTCTCCCATTCTCTCTCTTGGGACTCCTTTTCCCACCAACTGGCACAATTGCTCCTTTCTGAAGACAGCCAATACGCATGTCCACAATTTGACTGAGGACCAGGCTGTCAGAGGTCAAAGCTCTTCCCTGCAGAAAGGAGTACCTCTCCCCAACCACGCGATGTACCCTCCTCCAGCATCACTCCCCATAATTTACAGCTACACCCCAAAATAATTCTAATCATAAACCCCACAGACCCTGTCTAGCTCACGGTTGAAGGCCCAGCGACCATTTACCTCAGACCACCAGGCCTTCTCTCCTCTACCTCCATGGCAACCTCCCTCAACATAATGCCCCCCAGTAGGGCAGGGCGATACCTGGTTTTCAACATTGTGATATATCGCCAGCTAAACATCGCAATGGGATGCGGGTGGCGCTGTGGGTTAAACCACAGAGCCTAGGACTTGCCGATCAGAAGGTCGGCGGTTTGAATCCCCGCAACGGGGTGAGCTCCCGTTGCTCGGTCCCTGCTCCTGCCAACCTAGCAGTTCAAAAGCACATCAAAGTGCAAGTAGATAAATAGGTACCGCTCCGGCGGGAAGGTAAACGGCGTTTCCGTGCGCTGCTCAGGTTCACCAGAAGCAGCTTAGTTATGCTGTCCACATGACCCGGAAGCTGTACGCCGGCTCCCTCGGCCAATAAAGCGAGATGAGCGCCGCAACCCCAGAGTCGGTCACGACTGGACCAAATGGTCAGGGGTCCCTTTACCTTTTAAACATTGCAATATACTGATATAATCACAATGCCTGTAATTAGGATGGAGCTACGTAGAGGCATTGGCTGGCTTCACAGTTTTTCCTGCATCGTGATTTTTGCAAAGCACACACACACACAATCATGACTTACAATATACAACCAGGTCAAATATTATGAAGCTGATATCACGATATGGAATTCAAACTGGCTTTGGACAATACATTGCCCAGCCCTAACATACATAATGACTCATGTTATATCGCAAGGTCAAAAATTATGAAGCTGATATCACAATATGGACTTCAAACCAGTTTTGGATGAAATATCGCCCAGTCCTAGCCCTTAGATGTTACTGAATTCCAACTCCCATCAGCCCCATCTAGCATGGACAACGGTCAGGGATGATGTGAATCCAGCAACATCTGAAGAAGAAGAGTTTGGATTTGATATCCTGCTTTATCACTACCCTAAGGAGTCTCAAAGCGGCTAACATTTTTCTTTCCCTTCCTCCCCCACAACAAACACTCTGTGAGGTGAGTGGGGCTGAGAGACTTCAGAGAAGTGTGACTGGCCCAAGGTCACCCAGCAGCTGCATGTGGAGGAGCGGGTAAGCAAACCCAGTTCACCAGATTACGAGTCTACCACTCTTAACCACTACACCACACTGGCTCTCTGAAGAGCACCAGATTGGCTAGCTTCTTGAGGCACAGCAACAAGTAAAGAAAGTCCAAGTTTCCTGTTCTTCCCCAACCCTCCCTTCCTCTTCCACACACCTTCCCATGCATCTTGTGGTGCTTGTGTGGCTTGTTCATCTTGTGCGCCTTCTTCATCTTCTTCTTCATCTTCTTCGCTGCCTTCTTATCCATCCCATGGGTCCCCATGGCAACAGCCCCGGGCAGCAAAGGATTCACCCCCATCCCTCCAGGCATACCCGGGGCAGGTGGGGGGTAAGGACCGCCAGGGGGGACAGGGTAACCAGGTTGGTGCCCAGCATATGGCGGCAGGATAGAATGACCTGGTGGGTATGCAGGTTGCCCGGGGATCCCTGCTGGGGGCCCAGGATATGGGCCAACAGGTACTGGACCGGGGGGAAAGGCAGGATTCACAGGAGGGGGGTGGGCAGGGTTGAAGCCCGCTGGATAAGAAGGGTTGGGAGGATAGGCTGCTCCTGGGTAGGAGCCTGGCTGGCCTAAAACAAAAAAGGGAGGGGTGAGAAAAGAAAATCTTATCAGTTGCAAGGCTAAATGAAACATGCAGCAGTGCTTCAGTCAACCTGAAGCATCTTACCATTCCATCTACGTCATGGGTAGGCAACCTAAGGCCCAGGGGCCGGATCCGGCCCAATCGCCTTCTAAATCCGGCCCATGGATGGTCCAGGAATCAGCCTGTTTTTACATGAGTAGAATGTCTCCTTTTATTTAAAATGCATCTCTGGGTTATTTGTGGGGCATAGGAATTCGTTCATATATTTTTTTCAAAATATAGTCCGGCCCCCCACAAGGTCTGAGGGACAGTGGACCGGCCCCTGGTTTGCCTACCCCTGGTCTATGTATACTAGGCAACATGAGCTCAAGAAACCATCTCCACAACATAGGAAACTGTCTTATACCAAGTCAGAGCAGTGATCCATCCAGCTCAGAAGTTTCCAAACAAAGGGGTCTTTGCAAGGCCTACTTGGAGCTGCCGTCATGGTATTGCATACAGAGTTTGGCTCCCTAAGAATCTCAGCTTTCATTTGGGTGGGGGGGGTGCAAGCCCTTATGAATTGTGAAGACATAGCTGAAACTGTGTGGGGCGCATTGGGCTAGTGATTTTGGGTATAATATCCAACTTTCATCTTGGGAAAAGTTGTGGAGAGAAGAAATAAAATTTACAGCATGCTGTGCGTTGAAAGAAAATCACATGAAAATGATGTACCGTCGGTATCTAACACCAAGTAAGATTGCAAAAATGTATAAAACTAAATCAAATACGTGTTGGAAATGTAAAGAAAAAGAAGGTACTTTTTTCCATATGTGGTGGTCATGTTGTAAGGTAAACAGCTTCTGGGAAAGGATTTATAATGAATTAAAGAAAATGTTTACGAATACATTTGTTAAAAAAACAGAAACCTTTCTTTTAGGTTTAATAGGGGAAGAAGTAGCAAGAGAAGATAAAAGACTTTTTATGTATGCAACGACGGCAGCGAGAATGCTACTGGGAAGAAGAAGCATTACCAACAAAGGAAGAATGGCAAACAAAATTGATGGATTATGCAGAAATGGCGAAACTGATGGGGAAGATCAGAAACCCAGGATCTTCTGTTTGCAAAGCCTGGGCTCTGCCAGTGAGCTATAGATCTCCTACAACAGTTCAGCTGCTCCCTTAACTGGGCACATCTACACATGTTCCGCTACCAACCTCAGCCCATCAAGCTTGCAAGGAGAAGCAGTTCTTCTTCCTTCCACATTCCTGCATGTTCTCTAGAGGAGCATTTCCCAACCTTGGGTTTCCAGCTGTTTTTGGACTACAACTCCCATCATCCCTTGCTAAGAAGACCAGTGGTCATGGATGATGGGAACTGTGGTCCAAAAACTGCCAAAGACCAAAGGTTGGGAAACACTGCTCTAGAGGAGCAGCCCCTGCGCTTTTGGCCACACAAGTTTCAACTTCAATCAACCCAAGGACCTCCAACGTTCAGAAAGCAAGTCTCCACTAACGGGAGAAGGAAATTCGGATTCAGGAGGTCCAAGGAGGCCGTGTGGTTGGCCGCGGAGAAAGCACAGGGTCTTTCAAAAGCAACAACACATCACTAGTGACAGCTAGCAATGTCAAACTGAGCCTTCTGCTGAATCGCTGAGGACAACTCACAGGCAGTGAGGTCAGGCAAAACAAATGGCTCTCCTTGACTTGAGACAACCTAGTTCTGTTGCAGAAAGCAAGACTGGCCCAAGCCAATTGTGACTGGACTTAAAATGCCTTCTGTTTTTCCACTTGGCAGGACTTCCCTCACAGAGAACTTGCAAGATCTTTGCCATCCAGGTGAGTTTTAATGCTGATTAGGTACACCAGCACAATGGCATGAGAGGTGCCTTGGGAGCTACCAGGTCAGCTAACTCTCTTCTCTTTTCTTTTTTTAAAAAAATAGTGTGGCAGCTATTTAATGCATGGATACAGGCACATGACTCAGTGCGTAGAAAGCACTCAGGGCCCTTTCTGGAGGCAGCCAAAGCCTATTAAAAAAATGCCCTCCTGCCCAGGGGTAGCTCACATGCAACATAATAGTTGCCACCTCTGTGCCCATCCCTATGCATATTCCCTAGAGAGGTACCCCAGATAAACCCATCAATCCTTCTTCCCACTTACCTGCATTGGGATCCCACATGGTTCTCAAGGAGAGGAGAATGTGTCACCTGGGTAGGGAAAGATATTGTTAGCATAAACCACGTAAAGTTAAAGGCCATCAATTACTGCATAAACAAGCTCATAAATCAAGTAGGCGGGAAAGATTTCTACTCATAACAAAGTCCATACCATAAGGTCAAATTGCAAAAAGACAAGCGCTACAGGCTACACAGACAGAGCTACACAGATTCTACTACAGAGAATTTAATTTAAGACAAGGATTATCCATGGACAATAGTATGCGGTACACAGACTGAAATTCAAGTTTCTGACAGCTTGTTTTTTAAAATAGTAAGTCCCTAGCCGTCATGAATATGGATCTAGTTATGTATGTTTGAAAGCATGTGAGGGCCCACACTAAATTATTGGAAGGCAAGAGAAAAGTATAACCATGTGTATTTAATTTTTCCCTTCCAACTCATGTTTTTTCTAATTTGATTTTTCCATCTTTAAAATCAGTATGAAATTAGGTTTATCTGAATCTTAAGTATCTAAATAAGGTTATTTTGGAGATCTAAACCATACATCATCACTGTGTTACTCATACAAGATTCAAAACTAGATAGGTCAATTATATCATTTCATGTTTATAATTTCCAGGCTGTCTTTCCGTCATGCAATCCTCAAGGTTTATCTACATTTTAAATATGAAGTTTTTAAGATAATATTTTAGCTTCCTGTTAATTAAGTTGCTTTGAATGTAAACTTTATATTTGATTTTCTTTGGTAATGTTATATTCCATATTGTTTTATTTGATGTTTTAAACCTCTCTTGAGTTTTTTTCTTAAAAACATAAAGTGGTATAGAAATGGAATTAATAAATAATAATAAATATGGTTATTTTACAAAACTAAACAGTCTATCATCAGTGTGTTGCTCATGAGATTAAAACATTCAAACGATGTTACAAAGTTACTGTTATTAATTCTAAGTGCAGCAATATTTCAAGAGATAATGGGGCAGAAGTGTATAACCAACCAAACTGCCTGAGCTAAAGGAAGTTTCCATAAACGCTAACTGACTTATGATCAACAGGAACTTAACAGAACAAATTATTATCCCACATCTGGTCCAAGAAGGCCAAAATCCCCAGCCTTGATGCGTACGAAGTGGCCAGGCTCTCTTTCATTCATATATAGAAGTATGGTTTAAAGATAATAATAATAATAATAATAATAATTTATTTATACCCCACCCATCTGGCTGGGTTTCCCCAGCCACTCTGGGTGGATTCCAACACAATATTAAAATACAGTAATGCATCAAATATTAAAAGCTTCCCTAAACAGGGCTGACTTCAGATATCATCTAAAAGTCTGGTAGTTGTTCTCTTTGACATCTGGTGGGAGGGCGTTCCACAGGGCGGATGCCACTACCGAGAAGGCCCTCTGCCTGGTTCCTTGTAACTTGGCTTCTCACAGCGAGGGAACCGCCAGAAGGCCCTCAGCGCTGGACCTCAGTGTCCGGGCAGAACGATGGAGGTGGAGCCGCTCCTTCAGGTCTACTGGACCGAGGCCGTTTAGGGCTTTAAAGGTCAGCACCAACACTTTGAATTGTGCTCAGAAACATACTGGGAGCCAATGTAGGTCTTTCAAAGCTGGTGTTATGTGGTCTTGGTGGCCACTCCCAGTCCCCAGTCTAGCTGCCGCATTCTGGATTAGTTGTAGTTTCCGGGTCACCTTCAAAGGTAGCCGCACAAAGAGCGCATTGCAGTAGTCCAAGCAAGAGATAACTAGAGCATGCACCACTCTGGCAAGACAGTCTGCGGGCAGGTAGGTTCTCAGCCTGCGTACCAGATGGAGCTGGTAAACAGCTGCCCTGGACACAGAACTGACCTGCACCTCCATGGACAGCGGCGAGTCCAAAATGACTCCCAGGCTGCGCACCTGGTCCTTCAGGGGCACAGTTACCCCATTCAGGACCAGAGTCCTCCACACCCGCCCGCCTTCTGTCCCCCAAAAACAGTACTTGTCAGGATTCAGCTGCCTTTCATAGGGTTTCTGAACATGCCCCTAAGTGGTGGGTCCGGCAGCAAGGGGGAGGGCAAAATGAGTGGGATAGCATTGCTGTCATCTCCACAGCCCTTCAACACACCCTCTCCTGAACACCCAAGTCTCACCGTAATGGTTCTTCTTTCCTCCCGCTTATCAGTGTCTCTCTTTCTATCTTCTCTGCCTAACATTAGAGTCCAGTCACACTAAGCAAGAAGGCACCCAACATAATTTGCATAGCCTGTACAGACAAATGGGAACAGCAACCAAATGTTGCAGTGTTGAGTGGTCCTGTTCAGGGTTTCAACCAACCAGCTAGCTATTCCTTTTCCAGGATACTCTATTCCATCCCCACCCCTGTTTTCCAGTCGTTGTCCCCCCAACAACCAAGTCAGCAATGCGTTCTATGCCTACTGAGCATGCTCATTCACTGAATTGTTTGTGGGTGTCCACATCCCCATTTATGAGTTCTCTCCCCCTTTAAAATGCTTGTACAGTGGTACCTCGGGTTAAGTACTTAATTCGTTCTGGAAGTCCATTCTTAACCTGAAACTGTTCTTAACCTGAAGCACCACTTTAGCTAATGGGGCCTCTTGCTGCTGCCGCGCTGCCGAAGCACAATTTCTGTTCTCATCCTGAAGCAAAGTTCTTAACCTGAAGCACTATTTCTGGATTAGCGGAGTCTGTAACCTGAAGCATATGTAACCTGAAGCGTATGTAACCTGAGGTACTACTGTACTCCTGCAGATCTTGGGATTTGCCCACAGATGGTGCCATTTTGGCTACAGCCCAGACTCATCGAGGATGAGTCTGCTATTAGTATTCAGCACTGACTAAAAGCTAAGAGTCTCCGAAGTGGTCCAAGAAGATCCTGATTCGAGTCTCACCTGCATCACAAACCCACCAGATATCTCAAGCCTTAAACACCACTGAGGCAAGTGAATGGAAAACGTTCCCACACTGCATACATACAAGTGATGTGCCCTTTTATGTATATGCTATCGATGAGCATTTTAGGAGGCTTTTAACTCTTATTTTTAAAAGGCCTTCTCGGTGGCGGCCCCCACCCTGTGGAACGCCCTCCCATCAGATGTCAAGGGGATAAGTAACTACGCAACCTTTAGAAGACACCTGAAGGCAGCCCTGTATTGAAGGTTTTAATGTTTCATTACGTTTTTTATATATGCTGGAAGCCGTCCAGAGTGGCTGGGGCAACCCAGTCAGATGGGTGGGGTACAAATAATAAAATTATTGTTAATAATAATGTTAGTTTTTGTAAGCCGCTTTGAGTTCACCTCAAATAAACTCACAAATAAAACAACAATAAAAGTAAAATTATAAATGGAAGACGAAAGATGGGATATTGCTCCAATCGTAAATTCACTGCTGTGCAGCGAATCCTCCAGCATGAATACCCCTTCAAAGTTTAAACTTTTTAGAGCCCATTTATACATCCAGACATAGAAAACCCTTCCACAAATTGCAAAAATTGCAAGAAATCCTACCAGATTGCAAGGATCCCGTCCCACCCACCTACCTTCCTTCACCTTTGCAACCTCTCTCCGCCTTCTGCCCTCACTCCTTTCCAAGTTCTGCAGCGGCAGCAGCTACTTCCTGGAAGCCTTCCTGGCGGCTGGGCTCCGTTTCGCATGTCCCTCCAGCCCATTGGCTCTCGGCCGCCACCGCCAACTTCCCATAGGAGAGGCTGCATGTCCATCAGGAGCTGCGGTTCAAGCAGGCGGGAGAGGCGGCGCCTTCCACCAATGACTGCTCGGGCGCGGGCTGCAGATAGGGAAGGAAGGGACCAGCCTTGATCTGGGATTATTCCAGACCCTGCAAGTGTCCCTATTTTCCAGGGACATCCCTGATTTAGAGAAGCTGTTTTTGATTTGATCCCGGAATGTCCCACTTTCCCTATTTTTATTGGACAAATGTTGGAGGGTATGGTAGGATGTCCCTGTTTTAATTGGATAAATGTTGGAGGGTGTGTTATTCCACTTATTATTTCGGCCTGCAAACTTAAAAGAATCTTTCATTCCAACTGAGACTCTTGTTTCTTTTCATATTTGTAATAATTTTGGCATGCAGAATACACTTGGTCAATATATTTGCATGCGTTCATCTGAACGTTTAATTTTTAATTTTTATGTAATGGTTGCAGTCAAAGATGCAACTCAGTGCAACTAGGCTAAACAGTTTAAAGATGAAAACATTCTGTTATACGGAGTAGAAGTAAACTTATTAACTGGGTTGTGAAGTTCTTTAAAAATGCTGCAGCTTTGAAACTTTAAAAAGGCAGCAATGGTTGTCTCAGGGCACCTCTCTTGACTGTCTCCCACCACTTCCAGGGATTCAGGCACTTTTGGTTTGCTCAATTAAATTGGATTAATTTATTATTTATTGAATTATATACTGCCCTATACCCGGAGGTCTCACGGCAGTTCATAGAACAAAATCAGCAATGATTTGCCTTAGCACAACTAATCCATTACAAACGGGATCAGAGTTGTTTGCGGTTTGAAAAGTTATGGGAGGAATGCACTGAAAAGTGTGGGATGAAAAATGGTGGGAAAATATATGAATACCCTAGAAGTAAATTAGTCTTATTGTCTTAAAACTGCCCATCAATAAAGGCTGGATATAGCGTATCCAACTCTATACATTATACATACACAATAAAAACCATGTAAAAAAATTAAATCACAGATCATCAGCTAACTATTACAGTGGTACCTTGGGTTACATACGCTTCAGGTTACATACGCTTCAGGTTACAGACTCCACTAACCCAGAAATACAGTGGTACCTCGGGTTAAGAACTTAATTTGTTCCGGAGGTCCGTTCTTAACCTGAAACTGTTCTTAACCTGAAGCACCACTTTAGCTAATGGGACCTCCCGCTGCTGCCGCGCCGCGAGAGCCCGATTTCTGTTCTCATCCTGAAGCAAAGTTCTTAACCTGAGGTACTATTTCTGGGTTAGCGGAGTCTGTAACCTGAAGCGTATGTAACCAGAAGCGTATGAAACCTGAGGTACCACTGTGGTACCTCGGGTTAAGAACTTTGCTTCAGGATAAGAACAGAAATCGGGCTCCGGCGGCGTGGCGGCAGCAGGAGGCCCCATTAGCTAAAGTGGTGCTTCAGGTTAAGAACGGACCTCCGGAACGAATTAAGTACGTAACCAGAGGTAGCACTGTACAGATGTTTTCTTAATTGCAAGCATAAGCCTGGCAGCACAGACAAATCTTTGAAGGTTAAAATATAAGATGCCTGCTGAAACTTTATTGGGAGAGCATTCCACAGGACTGGGAAAATGACGCTAAAGACTTGGTTTTCTGCTGATGTGAAATGAGGTGCACCAACTTGTGGGATGGCCAATGATGCTCCAGATGGTTTCAGCAATTGAGCTAGGATATAAGGGCTCAGGCAGTCCCTAAGGTACCCCGGAACTAAGTTGTTCAGGGGTTTGTAAATTAATACAAGACACCCAATTGCAGGGATGCAGTTGAGTCACTTTGCATCTGGCTCAAAGCCCAGCCACTATTTTGCATGTGGGTGATGGGTGGATCTCTATTAAAAGAACAGGGGCAAAACTGGTTTTGCAGTCCTGAAGTCTATCCAACTCTCTCATGTTGCTTTCAGGATGGGCAGCTGTACACACCAATATTTGTTTGCTTCTTTCTTTGTTTAAAAGATTAATAAACTATCTTTTAGAGTAGCTACCATAGAAGGTAGCTTCTAAAGTATAACCTCACAGAACAGGAAGCAGATAACAAAAAGCATTCTACTAATTACCCAGAAAAATAAATAAAACCAGTCATAATAATACTATTTAAAAATTTTATTCTGAGTTAAAACGTTACAGAACCACAGTAAAAAGGTAAAAGGACCTCTGACCATTAGGTCCAGTTGTGACCGACTCTGGGGTTGTGGTGCTCATCTCGCTTTATTGGCCGAGGGAGCCGGCGTACAGCTTCCGGGTCATGTGGCCAGCATGACTAAGCCACTTCTGGCGAACCGGAGCAGCGCACGGAAACGCCGTTCACCTTCCCACCGGAGCGGTACCTATTTATCTACTTGCACTTTGACATGCTTTCGAATTGCTACGTTGGCAGGAGCAGGGACCGAGCAACGGGAGCTCACTCCGTCACAGGGATTCGAACTGCCATCCTTCTGATCGGCAAGTCCTAGGCTCTGTGGTTTAACCCACAGCGCCACCCGCGTCCCGATATATTGGTTTACCTGGTGATATATCACAATCTTGAGAACCAGTTATCGCCCAGCCCTACTCCACATCTTCAGCTGCAGAACCAGGGTGGGGGAAAAGAAATGGGTGACATAATGATGCCAAGTTGCATGTTTCCATAAGTTCACAGTGCGGAGTGAGGAGGGAGAACATGACACAGGGCTGCCATTTTTAGTAGCAACCTTATGTTCGTTCGTCATTGCGTCTAGTTATGCCCTTAGAATATGCCCTCTACATCACTCTTGATCAGCTTCCCGAACATTAAAAAAAATGTCCATATACAACCTTTAAATAGTGTTTGCCTAACATCGTCCCAAATAGCAACCATGGGGGGGGGGGGGAAATCACTGTGTGGAAAAGGCTCTAAGTCAAGTTTCGTTTAAAAAGTGACTAATCGACCTTCCCAGCTATAAATAAGACGCCGGGCTCCAGTGTACAGAGCCGAGCCTGTGTGTGCAAGTGAGCACCTGTGCCAAGGACACAGGCCATGCACTTCTGACAGATTCTGGCATGCAGCCAAGCAGCTCGGTGCATAATGTAGGAAAAAGCCACCCTTTCTCTTCTGATGAGGCTGCAGGAATGCAATTCCGCTTGACAGCTGAATGTCAAAAGGAGAACATCGCTGAGCAGCAGAAGCTCTTTATTTCGAGCGCTTGAAGGAGATCACAAACAGATCCTTTATTGGATTCCATTTGTATCCCCATCCTCCCACCAAGGACACATTTTTATTTGCACAACAACCCTGAGAGTCAGATTTATTGCAGATATTAATATTGCACACTTTGATGCATGAAAACGGACTCGTTTTTTGGGAAATAAAACATTGTCAAGGCCCATAAGTTTAATTAAAGCCTTACTTGCAGAACATTCATCATAACATAACAGAAACATCCAAATAACTCCATAAGACATATGCCAGTCCAAGGCATAAACTCAGCATCTTCTTACAAAATATGAAATAATTCCAACAGACCTAGAAGCAGAGATCTGTTTCTCCCCGCAGTCTGCATCCTGCCTTAGGTTGTTTACCTGGAGAACTTCATTTTCACCCACACTCTCACAGTCTGGGAACCAAGAACTCCTTCCAAGATGGCGAATTTGCAATTTAATACCTTTCATGTGATCTAAGGTTAAAACACCACGTCATAGCTACCTGAGAACAAAAATAGTTAAGTATCAACCCATCAATGAGTTCAGAGAGTCCTTTTTGCTCTTAATTTATCTGCAATGGAATCTTCCAGTTAAACTCTTTTACCGATATACATAGCCATTCCCATTTCAGTGTGAATTAAATCAATTATACTTACCAAGATTAGGCTGACCTTCCCAAAGCTACTCCAGTGTGGTTCTTGAATGAGTGAGGATTTGAACCCAATTATTTCCTTTGCAAGTTTAAAACTCAATCCAGCACACCAGCTTTTACCCTGCCTTGTGTACGGAAAGAGGCAAAATAGATCCACTTCCATTAGTTTGATCTTCTTGAAAGCAACTGAATTTCCATGTAACAGGGCTGTCTTTGGGAAAATGTTTATTATCTTTGCCCCACTTACTATGTTTATTGCAATTACTGTATGGAATAGTCTTGTACAAGTGCCGCAGCCACTTATTGGCTAGTGCCTGTAACATCAACATGACAAGTTAGCATATGCCCACACCATTTTACGTACTTTCTTAAAAGTGTATTGCCATTGTGAATGTAGTATAGTGGCCATGAGACTGAGCTACGAACCAGTTCCAGGCTCACCTCTCTCACGAACCCTGAGCTGGCATTAGTCTCTCTGTCACAATCTGTATTATGGGGATAATAGCACTGACCAACCTACGGTACAATGCAAGGAATGCGTTGTAATTTTATTACTTAATTTCATTCCGGGAACATAAGCTACTATCTGGCCATAATATATATATATATACTTAAATAAATAAGATGATGCATGTGAAGGACTTTGTATATTTAATATTTTATTGATTTTGTTTTAAAAAGTGCAAACATTACAAAAAGAGAGAGAAAACAAAGAATAAAAAATGTAAACCATAAAACGTCACAGCCAGGAGGGACAAAAGCACAAAGATACAGCTCAGCTTCAAACGGATAATAATAAAGTACTGACTCATAGAACGATTCCCTTTACAAGATATATAAAAATAAAAGTATTCTCCACCTGGGAGTTCCATCATTATTAAGAATCAAGGTTCCACAAAGTCTCAGATGAGCCAGGCATTTTGCATATACCAGTAATACTGGGGGACAATGTGCCTCAATATTTGTATAAGAAATAAAATCATGCCGTATAGCAAAAAATGGTCATTCGAGCTCTGCCCTTTGGACCCGTTTAGATTACAAGATACCTGTTCAAAGAGGGCAATTTGCCAAACCTTTGAGTACCAGCAAT